TTCGCATTTTATCGTATTTTTGCCAATTTACGAATTCGTACACGAATTCTTGGGGACCAAAATGATCATTTCACGAATTCGTCGATGGTCGACCAATTCGATTTACGAATTCGTAGGTACCGGAAATTTCTTTCTTACGAATTCGTCCTAATTTACGAATTGGCAAAAGGAAGAAAAGACGCAATTTTTTGGTTCGGTTTTGATCATTTTTGTTAGTTCGCATCAGTTCGCATTGAATTACGAATTCGCTACGAATTCGCAAAACAATGGTAAAATGCGAATTGTTGCATCATTTTTACGCCCAAAAATTGCGATTCGTCAATTCGTCTTTAGACACTTTGTCCACACTAATGCATTTTTGGAGGGAACCTTAAAAACTGTGAGAGTTATTCTCCCGATCGCGGGATATCTGATCTTATTGATCAATCTTTTCTCTCTGTCTTATAAGTTGATTAATCTTTTGATGAATATTATGAGAGACAACGTCGAGAATCATCCAGATCAGCAAAAACACGATTCTAACTGGAAATTCGTAAAAATTCCGATCTTCATAATTTTTAGTCAGCATTTAGCCATCCGGTTATTTACTTCAATTCTTGGTCGCGGTTATTACAAGCTGACCTTACTGTATGAATCACTACCACCACAAACGTTGAAACGTTTTTCACAACAACAGTAGTTTTCATTAACTATGCGACTGAGCATAACAAAGCCACGATTGTCTCTCGTAAATGGAATTTCACCAAGACACTGACAAGCTTTCTCAGATAATTCTCCACTACGGTTACAATCAACGCAATTTGTTGACTTTTTACGTTGAATTTAGAGCATTCACCTCTGACAAATATTAATTCAAAATATTAATCTCTACTCACTTATTTTCGGCATTCTCAAAATTTCTCTAATTTGCTATAGCGAAGTACTAGCGACCTGTCATTGGCTTTTAACAACTTAAACTAACAAGCAAACGGTGCAAGAATGCAGAGAAAAAAAAGTGAATTGCATTCTTGATTCTTGATCTCAAATAAGGACAATTTGTTGTGAGTGTCTTCCTTGCGTTGCACTTGAACAATGTGTAAGTGTTTAAACACACTTTCGTAATTTAAACGGACAAAGTATTTGAGCTATCTGTTAAATCATTTATTAAATAAATCATTTTCCCTTAGATATTTTTTTTCTGTTGTCTAATTCCCACAGCCAGATACACTTATGACATTTGTATTAAAATATATGGATGATCAGTGATCGATGAAATGTGTGTTTGTTCAAAATCAGGTATATACTCATTTATTATTTGATCTTAACGTCGCTATTGGCAATTACATAACAAATAAAATTATATATTTCATTGTACGTGAATGATTTTTCTATTTGATTGTCGTTTTTTGTTTTAAGCAAAGAAAGAAAGTCATATTATCATTATTTGATTATCCTCAACAACAACAACAACAGTTCGTTGAATGATAAAAATATACGCCACGCAAATATTGCCCTATACTCACCCATCTGTTAGATCGTTGAACAACTTCTTTCATCAAAACCTTGGGAATAAAAACAAATAGAAGAAGAAGAAGAAGAAAATGATTAGTCGTCATCGACAGATCAACTCATTAGTCAAACAAATATTTTGAGAATGACAGTTAAGAGTTCTTTGAATGAACGAGAATACGCAATAAATATCACCACTACCAAGTAAATAAATCCAAAATGAAAAAAGGTCACTGCATAATAATAGCACTTATACAATACACACACACACATATATATACCAATTGAACTGAGCAGTTATCAAACAGCTAAGAATAATTCGACCTTTTCCAGCTGTTTACAAATAAATCATGTCTTCGAATTAAAAATTATACTATTAAATAGTGATAGTTCGTTCATAAAATTTTTATCAAGGTCATCCCTATCAACGAACAACTAGTCTAAGAAACAAAATATGTACTTACTTTCGTACAATTGGCAATAAAATTTTTTAATGCATTATTTGCCGCTCGGTCAACCGGATCTTCTTCATTATCATCTTCAAATTCAATTTCAGATTCTGATATTTCACTATCCCAATCATTCATTTCTTCTATTCCCATTTCATCTTCTTCTTCTATCGATGACATGCTACAACGGCGCATTAATATGCGCTGCATTTTTTTATATACGCTTTCGTTAGTTTGCTTTTAAATACAACGTTAAACTAATTATTTTAATAATAATGAACGTCACTCTCACAATAATCTGAAATGATCAAAAAAGAAAGCAAGTTATTCTAAACTAAAACAATCGAAAAACACAAAATCAATTTTTGTACGAATAGAGATTCGAACATGTGAACTTAGCTTTGTAGTAAATTACTACAAAACTGAATTCACCGTTCTGTATCTATATTCTGTACAACGATTGAAGTTGTGTAATCGACTCGATGTTAGCTAACTCGTTTTAGCTATAGGAACTGAGGAAAAAAATCATTTTTGTAATTTTGCACATCATTGTATACGCGGTAGCTGTTCTTTATCCAAACTCGTTAAAATTATGACCCAACCGCACTATGAAAAACTAATCCCGGACAATTGTTTAATTTTTAGCGTAATTCTAGTTCAAATCATACGTTCGTTTGACGCTGACTATAATCTCGGAATCTCTCAAGATTTAGGCTGCAGTATGCTAAAAGCATCATATTTTAAACACTCATATTTACACAATTGAGTGTTGGCAATCTCAATTAATAATCAATTACCTAGCATTCTGTAGAACTGTGGCAGTGTTTTTTTGACACGTAACACGGTCCCCAGCCTAAGTTCCTTCGTCGTGAACAGATAGGAATATAATCGCCCAGTATGCTGAAAGCACCACTTTCTAACAATATCATCCGAAAAATTGGATGCCTACAGATTAAATGATAATTGGGTGGTAAATAGTTTTGATCATGCTAAATAAAACTCTGCTTTAAAGGTTTTTCATAATTTTCATGGTCCAACAATACTTTGCAACAAGTGTGAGAGGACGTTGACTCATACGATTTTCACGAATTAAGGCTCTAAGGAAAACCAAAGATTCAGAACACCAGAAAATCACATGGAGTTTTACTTCGATTCAATTTCAAGTGAGGTCGATCCTTGTTCTTTTTTATACCTCCTCCTTTTCTTCGATGTATAACATTTTCCATTCGCGACATCATTGACCGACTGCTGGGGCATCACTGATAATAAAGTTTCAGAGAAAATTAATTCAAGAATACCTCTCATTCTGAACCCTCTTTTTGCCGTATGATTTTGAGCGCATTAGGATAGTTTAAACTCAAAAAGCTAATTATGACGCAATCAACTGTAAGCGCATTTGTTCCCTTCCAGCTATATCTCTACTAGGATAGAAGGAGGCAGCTTGTTGAAATACACCAGTTTCTCAGCGTCTCTCAGACAACGGCTACACTCTACATGAAGAAGTTGTTCTGGACCGGTTCATGTCGAACATAGTTGTAGTAATGAACAATAGAAGCACATTAAGTTGCGGCATATTTCTTATTGAAAGTCAGTGTTTGTGTTTAGGTCGTACCCATACCTCAAATCATTTTTGAAAAATATTACAGTCTATGATAGAGATACACTATCAAATGAACTAACAATCTATCTGATCAAATTGCATTTGAACAAGAGAAAGAAAATTTTACCAGAATTCTCTTAACGCTTAGCTTTTTAACGCGAACTAAAAGCGTTTTCGATCCATCTGTCCAGAAAAAACTATTGACTATACTGCTTCAAAGATAATCTCTTCTCTTGACTTCAAAAAGTGTCATCGTACTAGAAAAAACGTGTTTGGAAAGTGAATTCTGGGATGCTTCAGGGGTTTGTTTTAGAGAAACCTATAGATTTTGCTCTTTTTCCCTTAAGCTATTCGTTAGTATTATTATTATAGAACGGTTTGTTGTTTTCATGACGTAATAAATAACAATAACTATAAGACATATGTGAAAGAGAAAACTGAAGAACTAGACATGTATTAACTAATTTAATTTAAACAGTGAAAATACAAATTAAAATTTGTATTTTCTAAACGTTTTTTCTGTTGAAACTTGTATAATTATGAAACTTATTCTACAGGGAATAAATGTTCACACACGCACACAATAAATAATCACATGACACTGTATACAACAATGTTAACGATCTGTCTGAAAAAATTGAACATGAAATAGATTCATGTTATAGATGACGAGTACAGTTGATAGTTAAAGAAAAGTCCTCTTGAAAACTTATCAATACTTGTACTAATTATAAGACTATGGATTAGAGCGGACACGTTAGTAACTATATCATAAAACAAGCGTGATAAAACTTGTGAGTATGTATGACTTATCAGAAATTCCTTAATCAGCTATTGTATTTTATAACATAAACAAAAAAGACTATCTGGGTTTTAACTGTTACGTACTTTTATTTTTGACTGTTCATTTAGCAATAATCTTACTGCGTTTGATTATACAGAAGATGTAACCTCTGAATTTCTTTCGTTATTTTTGTTTCGACCATTGATTATGACGATTTGTGTGTGGTGACAAGTTTTATCGCGATTTTTTATCGATACATATGACGATATATCTCTCTAATTTAAAACTTCTACTATTACTTTGCTGTGTTGTGATACATCAACAAATAGATATATAAATCGAGTGTATGAATATTGCAACGGTTGATGAGCAATATGTGAACGATAGATAGATTTCTCACTTTTTTTTTCTTCTCCTTTGTAATATAATATAATAATAAAAGAGACAAAGTCATAGAAGAAGAAGAAGAAGGAAAAAATGAAGAAGAAAGATGGTGGCAATTATCGAAGGATAATAGAGTAGCCAAACATCTTCGATATTCAATATATCTTTATTAGCTTGATAGATAGCTGAATATATTGTTTTATGCAACACACAGGCTTGAAATGTGGGTATTTTTGTTTCTCTCTCTCTCTCTCTCTCTCTCATTCCCCAAAACATTGTGACATGAGTATGATGGTGTGTTTATTTGGGAAATTGAGCATTAGACATGATATATCTATAGGGTTGTTAACTTTCACTGTTTGTTTCTCGTTCCCGATTGTATCCTCTCGGTATTGTAGATTTTGTATCTATCTTATCTTAGATATAGAATATTTCACCGTCTTCATTATAAAAAAAGAAAGATAGACACAAATCAAAGATCATTATGTTCATATGTTATCAGAAGAAAAAAAGAAATAGATCATTCCTAATATAAAAACGTCTGTTATAGAGAATTTTGATTAGCAAAACGATATTACACACTTAAATGAACAGTATATATATAGATGATAAATATCATCGATTATAAACTTGAATGGTCGACATGAACAGAAATCGAGATATGTCGATTTTTCACTGTTCAAATCAGTGGCATACACTCAAGTCTATAGCCAAATTTGTGGAAAGGCTCGAAGAGTCTAACTACTTACCGACATCAAGAGTCTTTATACTCGACGAAAGTTTTACCAATGATCAAGATATTCACATGAAAAATTAAATAAAAAAATTAAATTTTGTACGATAAATTTAGATAAGTATCTATATTTGTAACTGATGATTATCGTCTTTAAACTTCATCATTACAAAAGGATAATGATGATCATTAAGACACTTGTCTCTAATTCACTATTAAGGGAAAAAATATCCTAAAGGTAAAAATATATACAAACGTCTTAAGTGGTAGAGGAAAAAGGCGTATAGACCTAGCACTAGCAATCTTACAATGTTTAAACATGTCTGTCTCACTCAATTTAATTTGAACAACATAAAAATCGCGTGTAGCCTTCCAAACCTGTAATTTTCTATACACATACCGAGAAAGAGAGAGAGAGAGAAAAGCAAGAAAGAGTATAGCATCTACATATAGTGTGAAGAATGCCCGATAATAGATAAAAAAAAGAAGATCATCGCCCTGTTCATGCATACACCTGAACGAATATGTGAACAGTCATGACTTGAAAGTGAAAGTGCCTTTCTCTCAAAAATCAAGGATTATTAAACGAAAGATATAGGTGTGTACCAACATACAATACAAAAAAAGAAGATCAAAATCAAAGCTTGTTCGTTTCTTACGCAATACGATATTCTTTACATTTTTTTGTGCTATTCATCAAAAATTTAATTGGAAGAGAAACATACATATATGTGGCTCATAAGTGTATCATACACAATGATCATCCGAAGGTATAAGCCTTGGATTTTAATGAAACTTTTAGTTGATGTATTTATCGATCAGAAAAGTCGATGATGACTACAGATTTCGTCATGTCTACTAGGACACCTTTTGAACTGACTCACAAGATTTGGATTCTTATTTAAAAAAATGAGAAAAAAACAAATATAACGATTCATGATATGAAGAATTTTTAATGTTTAAAGTGACTAATAGAATTTGGATCCGAAATTTCTGAAAATTATTAAGATACGAACACAACGTATACATTTCACAAACGACAAACTAAATTACCATGATAAGCAAGGCGAAACATAATTTAACTCTAGCGACATAGTCCGCCAATTATGATCATATAGAGATGGCGTTAAGTATCGCTTTTTTACAAAAGCTGTTTTGAATTTTTTGTCGTTTAAACTATTGTTCTGTTCATTCCGTTAATATAAAAATATTCTTTTTTCCTATTAAATAGTTCAGACATAATGCTTTCAAGGCCGAAATGTCCATATGAATGCAAGTACAATCAGAGAGTAAATAAGAATTTCTTGAAACTAAGCATCATGGGAATTTGCTATGTATTACTCATGAAAATCATATATTTGGTTTGTTTGAAAAAGTTCTTCTTCAATTTCTGTATAGAGAAACGAGAGATGACTGTATGAGCTATTGTAGAGAGATACAATTTACATTAATTTTTATTCTATACAAACGAATAATGTTATATTGGTGAGTAGAGTAAATACTCTTGTAATTTTGCACTATATCCTAATGAATTTAGAGTTGAACTCTTTAAATTTTTTAAATTTTGTCTAATAATTAAACGACAAAAATGTTTTAAATCATTTGGTTGTTTGATCATATCGTATATTTTAACTATACAAATTTGTATATCATTGAGCGCAAGTGGTATAAGATTAATTGATGTTGATGGCCATTGCTGAACGGCAACTGAACGTAGTTTTTGTTCTAATTTAAGCGCATGTTTTGAGCCCAATATTTTTACAAATAATTGAATATAGTCATTATTAAAACGTTCAATGGCTTGTTTATTACATTCACTTAAACCATAAATATCATCATTTTTACATAGTAAAATCCCAGTTGATATCATGTAAGTCAATAAGGATAAAACATCGTTTAATGCCATCCGTTTTAGATGATACGTCATTATCAATAGAATATGACGACTTAATTGTAAAAAGTCACTTGAGTTTATGTGCGATAAATTATCAAGAGATACCAATGATACAATATCCATTAAACGTAAACATGAACAATCGTTTTCAAGTAATAATTTGATTATTTCATCATTTTTATTTGAAGTTGTTTCAATTGCTACATATAAATAACTGTGACCATGAGAATCTCCTAAATTAACAAAAAAATGTCTAGTCTGATTTGAGTAACTTTCTCAAATAGGGTACTCACCTTGATAAAGGTCACATCCATATCGAATTAATAAATCGACTATTTCATATGATCCAATTAGGATAGAATGTTCTAAATAACTCATACCATATGAATCTCGTTGATTAATATCAACGTCAAAATTGGATAATAAACGTTTCATTGACTCAACATTACATCGAGCAAATGCAATATTCATTGCTGATGTTAAACGATTTTGTTTACGTTCATTACGATTGAGAGCAACTAAATAGTTTGTTTTATCATTAATATCGTTTTCAATAGTTTTGGTCGGTACTCGAGTTTGATTATTTGACGATGATTTTAATATTATAGAATTGAATATAGTCGAGATTGATGAACGTTGATCAGAGACTACTGATAATTCTGATTTTGTTCCAATAAACGGATTAGATTTTGTAGATGATTTTTTCACAGATGATGATGGTACATCATTTATTTGTCGAACATATTTACTTGTTTCTGCATCACACGAATTTGATTTTAAAAATGATACGGCTTTTTGCATTGATTTAACACTTTTGATACCATTTGATTGCTGAGAAATATTTTCATGTAATTCATTGTTCTCCATTTCATCACTATAATCATCGCTTTCACTGTCATCACTATCGCCGTCTGTGCCTGTATTACTATCATCGCTATTCTCGTGATCTTCATCAAAAAACTCAATATCTTTTGATTGATATGGACGATTTTCAAGTGAAAATACTCGTGAAAGTAATGAACGAGCTTTATTTAACATAATTTTTTTGTTTAAATCAATTGTCGTAAGTATCTAAAATATAAAGTAAACAACATTTTTAATTCATGAAATCATATCATTGATAATTATAAGCATTAGTTTAAATCAAATATCTTTCATTTTAGAGATTTGAAATAATTTCCTAGTTTTCATTAATGTCAATCACTAGACATCTAACCGTTATTTTTTTCCTTTTTTTGTCTAACAAAAGAAGAGAACATACTCATCGGTCCGTTAACATTAAAATATATGTTACAAACTATTCATCTCCATCATTAAAACTGCATCATTTTGTCCAGGTATACACACACACACACACATATATAGAGAGAGAGAGAGAAAGACAGATTGTAGACGACATTTAATTTTAAAGAGTGACGCACACACACATATATACGCATAAAAATTTTAACAATGAACACTGTACAGTTTGTGTCCACTTATAGAAAAATGATGTATAATAAAGCGATAGAAAAAATAGAGATTCTTTTTTTTTTTTTTTGTTCAAAAGAAAAGAATGATTTTTTTTTCTCTCTCGCAGTTTGCAGTAAGGCTTAGTTCAGCAGTATATATTTCTATAGACGATTTATTGAACGAGAGAAAGTGAACAAAGAGAAAGAAACAACGAAACGTGTGGTATGACTAAAATCATCATAGGAATTAATCTATACAGATCTCTTAAATTAAATTTCTATAGTGTCATCATATTTAACATCTGTTAAAAACATATGAATCTCTAATAGATAATAAAAACTCTTTGTACATTATATACCTTTTGAATTTTCTATACTATTGTAGCTTTGTTATTCCATTTGTAGATTCTGTGAAGACGATCTTTGTTCAAATTTGTTTCTTCTATTCATTTCAAAGTAAATGTCTGTGTGTATTCATAAACTTCGCTTTTGTTTCTCTTATTCTCTCCCTTTTTCATTCTTTTTTAGCTGTTGTTTTATAGTCTATTTCTTTTTTTTTTTCTATCACTCACACACGATAATTGTCATTTTTCTATGTGCTTTTTGCGAGATTAAATTTCGATTTCTTTTCAGAAAATAAGATTTTTTTTCAACAAAAAAAAAAAAGAAGAAAAACGATGAAGGAACAACTCGAGCGGTAATATATTTTTCTTTTCTATAAATGCCGTTTGTAACTATAAACTCGATATGGAAACGTGTTTTCTGACAGAAATCGAGGTTCTTTTTCTTCTTCTGCTCAAATTACGATCAAATATACGAGCGAACTTCTTCTTTTTTTTCTTTTTCTACGCTGTTCGGTTTTTCTCTTAAATAGTTTGTTTAAAACTACTATAGATAAGTTTTATAACAAGTGAATAGTTCAATCAATAGATTTTTTTCTTCTCTCTTTTTGAGAAAAACCACCTATCCATGAATTTTAATAATTAACAATTAATTTTCTTGTAGATAGAAAAGAGAGGTGTAGAGAGCATTAGGTAAAAATTTTTTTTTTTTGAAGAAAAAAAGAATTTACATATAAGTCGGGATTAATGAAAAAAAACAACTACTCGTTTTCATCAGCAATCTTGTAGAGATGTGTGTGGGCACAGCTTTAAGTATCCATACCCGATATTCATACATAGGGTAGAGTATCCGTTGAGTTGCCCATTTCTACTACCTTGTTAGATTGACGTTTATTAATTTGGAATAAAATCAGACTGAGATAAATTAAAAACAAAATACATATGTATAGCAGAAAGAAGATTTTATATGTCTGTGTTTTTGTTATAAAAATTCTACTCTGAAACATTGAATGATGAATAAACGACTTTTGTTTAAATCAATCGCACAATATACCGAATTGATGTTGTAAATGTCTTGATAACTAAAGAAATAGCACTCATTGACTTATTTTTTCATGTGTGTGTGTTCGTCTGAACAATTTTTGATCGATTCATCTGATTTTTTTTTCTCAAATGAAAAATGTTATCAGTTGTTTGTCATACAAGTTCAGTAAAACAAAACAAAAATAATAGGATCATTAAAATATGAAAAAAAAATGTTGCTACGAGAGAAAACAGAAAAACTCGTAAAGAATTTTAGTTTTAAATTTTAGTTTAAATAACAATTTTATTTCAAATTTTATTACTTATACGTAAATTGTTGTCTTAAAAAACAGTGTAACAACAGCAACAATTATTAGATGTAATCCAACTGCATCAAATATAATACTTCAGCTATAATATCCAAAGTAAATATCTATCTACTCTTTCTTAGAAATTATCAAGATTAATGTCTAATAGATCCACATTTTTTTAAAGTTCCTTTTCGATGCACGAGATTATCGATTTGATATATTTCTACAAAATGATACTGTGATTTATATCAAAATATGACCAATTCCACTATCACTTTTATAAAAATAAAGTTTATCATGTTGAACATAAAACTGACATTAAATAATTATAAAATGGCGTGTTTTATAGAGAAATACCATTGGTAATTATGATACATATTTTTGCAAAAAGATACAAAGATGAAGATCATTAACATGACTTAATAAAGGAACAAGTCTTAGTTTATCCTGTCTTAGTCTGCAATTGATCATTTATTCTACTTTTAAGTATTATTTTGATTAATAATTCAATAACATTGTTTTATTTAAGAGTAAAATCACTTTCGATTAAAATAATATGGGAGTTTAGTTGAAATATTTTTGCTTAAAAAATAAAATAATAATCCAAAAAAAACAAAACAAATAATTTAACATTTTATTTTATTGACAATAAACATTAACAATGTTACATTTATGCAACATCATTTTCTTTTGCCATATTACTTTTGAATATTTCGCTGACATGTGTTATTAGGCTTATCACTCTCTGAAACATTACTTTATCGTGGACGGAAATAGTTAGAGCATCAGCTCTTCGGTTCCGACATGTGTTGTACTTCTGATTGTCTTTTTCTTTTTTTTTTACATCATTTTCTGCTTTAAAATAATGAAATAGATAAATAGATGTACAAAAAAACAAAATCTTATATACAAAATAGTAAAAAAAAAAATGGATGGATTTGGAATTTTTCCTGATGATCAAGAACGTCTATCGGTTCTTGGATATAGAAACTAGTGATAGAGTCAACAAGTGTACTTAGCTCACCCATTAAATAGTCTCTTCCCCAGTAAATATTTTTGCATTACATCATCAAACCGAAAATTTGGGAGAAGAAATGCACACCTACTAGAAATATTCTGAGCGAGATCATTAATTCAAAACATTTAAATAGTAATTTCTCTAATATTTTATATTCAAAAGTTTTCGTTGCCAAAAATCATTATGTATCACAACAGCATCACATTGTATCGAAAAATGTTTAATTGGAATGTTTGAAAATTGTTTACTACCAGAATTGTATCTAAAATTTAAACGTCAAATAGAATGATAAGAAATAAACATCAAATAATATATAAAATATGTAAAATCTTACTTGTAAAATTTTTCTACCATTATTTCTGTGATAATTTGCGGACCTTGACCATGTATTTTTTCAATAACATCTGTGTCTGGTATATATGCATACAATGCACGATATTGTAAACGATGATCGCGAAATAATATCACATAATGACGATGATCACTTAATTCAACTTCCTTAAGAGAAATAAAATATGATTAATAATAGAATGAAGAATGTTAAATTTATGTGTTTACTCGATACACAATTTCTCGTTGACGATCATTCGCCGGCCCAGCCAGTACAACTTGTTTAAGAGCATTCAATGTTGATTGTTTATTCGATTTTGTTAATAACGCTGGATTTCTTGTTAAACGACTACCCACTAGAGGCATAAAACAGACTGATACCGAGTCAAAAATGACTCGATTATGTTGATTTTACTCACCTGTTGTTGCTAATGATGTACATGATGCACTTAGTGATGATAAATCATAATTATTTGGTACTATTTTTCGTCGAGGTATTTGTTTTGTTCCAAAGGGTGAATAATCTTGTGAAGTTAAATTCATAAGACTACCACCAAATGGTAATTTTGTAGGTGTCCCTGTTGTGGCTATCGATGTATTTGATTCATATAAATTTCTGACATTTGACATACTAACAGTACGATTCATTTTAGATTGAAATGATGCTGTTGGTGAATCAAAACGTGTTGTGGTTCGTCGAGGAGTTTGCACTACAAAAAAAATAAAAAGAAATGTTTTATATATAAATATTGTGTATAGATACGTACTTCTTCCTTTAAATAAATCAAAATTTGATCCAAAACTATTTTCATCACCTAATCCACAAAGTGAACTATTGTAAACGGATGATGCTTTTCGTCGTAATCGAGTAATATTATAATTTCGATTTGTATCAGGATCTGCTTCCATTCGTTTTTGTTCAACATGCGCTTGTAATATTGCATTTCGTCTTAAATTATCATCATTTCGACGTTGACTCATAAATTCTTCGAATAATCTAAACATAAAAATAACAATAAAATAATACAAGTATAATTTACAATTAATTAAAAATATTAACCGATATTCTTCTTGCCGCTTAGCAAAAATACTCTGTCTTTCCACTTTTTTCTGTAATTGTTCTTCTCGTCGTTGAATTTGGCGTCGAATTAATGCATCTTTTTTTCGCTGCATTTCATCAATATCACTCGTCTATATGAGAAAAAAAAAAATAATACGATTTGTTTAAAATTCTAATTACTACATTAAACACTTACTGTCACGTTATTTCCAAATGTAATTTCATTCAAAAATAATGATTCCTCATTCGATATTGGAAATATTTCGTCTAGTAATTCATCGCTTCCAATTTGACTGTTATTCTCTTTTGAATCAATCTCAGATTCTAAAAATAAATAAAAAGTTATTAGAAAATAGATTTTATTAATTTCTACAATTTTTAATAAATAATACCGTTCGATTTTGTACTGTTGACGCCTTGTGATTGATTTGTATCATTTGATGTTTTTCCTGAGAATCTTGTTAATTTTTCTTTAATATCACCTAATTCTGCACTTAATTTATTCAACGCTGGTGTTGAATGATATCGATTATGTAGTAAACGTGATCTAAGTCGATTATTTGATGAATTAAGAGGTGTTGTTGGCGGTGGATTGTAATGTTGAATATCTGGAATTTCGGAGCCAAAATTTTTTTTCCATAATTCTTTTAATATTTGCATTGTTGCTAACATTTCTTCTTTACTTAATGGTTTAGTTAGATCAATAATAGCTGGATTTGTATTATTACTTATATTTTCACGAATTGTTTGTTCTTGTTTTTCACTGTCATTATTTGATTTTGATCCATCACTAAAACCGGAACTCGTGTTTGTTTCACTTGGAGATTCTTCCACAAGACAAGGCATTGATGGCAATGTTAAATGAGATGGTGAATGAAAATGATGATGATGATGAGTATAGGAATTTGTCACTGTTGGAGGTGAATTTTGTTCGTTCAAATCAGACGAATTAATGGAAAATGTAAATGTTCGTGAATTGGGAAGTGATTGAAATGAACGAGAAACCAATGGATTTCCAGTATGTTTACTGCGTTGAATCGTCTGATTATCATTCTTTTGAAATTCAATCTAAATAATATCAAAATTGTATTTTTACATGGTAAAAACAAGAAAATTTGAATATATTTTATATTCTAGTTGTAATTCATAATAAAATTCTTCTTTAACTACAATAATTAATTAAATTCTATAAATTCTACTTTAATTACTGTTGAATTTTGTCCACACATTTATTTCAATAATTGTTCAAATTAATTCAACTAATTTATTTTTTGCACTTTTATATGGTTAGAAGTAGAATTCTTTCTCAAATTTGTTGGTTGTTCTTTCGTTTGTCTTAGTTCAAATTATGTTACCGTAATTATTTAGACAAAATGAATTTTGATAGATTTTAGATATTTGTCCAATAGGTCATGGTCGTTTAATTTACAAGTGTGATGTACACATTTATATTAAAAAAAAAAGAAATTGAATTGAACTAACTCATTCTAAGGTTTCTTCTTGCTTAATATTTACTTAGGTATTTACATGATCAAGGATATATTACATACCTCGTTGTGTACTACGGATAATAAATTATTTGAATTTGAATTTTTTGATAATAAATTATCATCATTTTGATATGAGTCTCGTTCACTACTATGATTACTAATTAGAGTTTCATCATTATTTGTTGAGGAAACTGTTGATGTTGCTGATGATAAACGACGTTGTTTTTTAGCATCGAGTTGTGCTCTAAAATAATAATAAAGATATATTATATTTCAAGATGATACTATTAGTACTCATTATCAAATATCAGATTGGTCTCTTTTTCAACACTGAGATTTTCAAGAAAAAAAAAATTCGAGAGAGAGAAAAAATATTCCTCCTACAACAAGAAAATCAAAAAAGTCGACTTTCTTCTTACGTAAATAGTCCTTTAGAGATGAGATTGACGTTTCAAATAATCAAAGTAGTACAGACATTTTTTAGTCTAAATATTCATATTTCTAAAATATTATCTTAAAATAATATTCACAATTTTAACAAATTTAAAATTCTAAAAGTACTTGATATTTAAAAAATTTATTATTATCTCTTTTTTTTTATAACTAAATTTTTATTACGTGCTATGATCCTATTTGCCTTTGTCCGAAATGTCTGTTTTCTTTACAATTGATTAGTTTACTATTCATGTTAGCATTTGAACAGTAATCAATATTCTTCTTTTTGTTTATCTTAACGCTTAATCAATATGACTTTATTGACTATTTGATTTAAGATTGAGTATATTACATATTATATTGTCAGACAAATAGTGACCCAGTTTCTTTTTCTAATTCAGTAGGTGTTTTTATAAGACTAATAATAAGATCTTCATACGTGACTTCTAACTAAAACAAGAATGAAGATGTAAAATCTACTCAGGTGCTTCAACAAACAAAAATTAGTTTTATCAAAAACAGAATGAAATACAAATATATACTTTTAATATTATATAATAAATATAAAACTGACTTATTGAACATATACTATTATACTGGAACATTTTCAAAAATAAATGACAGGAAACAAAGAATATGAATTATATTCAAAGAAGCAAAATGTTTACTTTTTATGCTGATATAAGCATGTCTAGGGTATCGTCTGAATAAAAAATATGAACGAACGAATGAACAAAAACTCACGTACCCCTCACTGTAAATTCAAACAATAGTACTTTACTTAGATTAAGGAATTACAACCTTCAATTGTTAGAGATATTCAGCTAAAATTTAGAGTATAAATCATCGAATTCACTATATATAACATAGGTTTAGATAGTTGCTTCAAAGTTATGTTTATTAGTGAAAAATATTGGATCGTTTCTCAATAAAACTTATATTTGCTTATAATTAGAACGAAACTATCCTTTAGTAATGAGATATATGACAAATGGTAGATAATATGCGTGTTTAACACTACAATTAATATACCTGATACAATTTAATTTTTCTTGTAAATCATTGTCAATTGAACCATTTAATCCACCGCTATTTTTATTATTCGTCTGTAGTGATAGACTAGTACTATTACGATTAGAATCTGTTCGTGTTAATTTAGCTTGTGCAACCCATGTTGTTGTTGATTTAATATTATTATTATCGAAAGCAGATCGTAATGAACAGGCTGTTGAACATGATGCCGTCGGTGATGTGATAAAAAATGATTGGGCTGGTAGAGATGAATTTGAAAAAAAGTTATTTTCTTGTTCGTGTTTAAATATGTTATTATTACTGTTCTGTTTTAACGATGGTTCATCAGATGAATATAATGTAAAATCGCTTTTGTATCCATTTTGTATCCATCGTGAAACGTTCAATTTTGATGCATTGCCATAATTTAACACGGCTGCTGCACTTTTGAAATCTGTCATGGTTTGTTTAAAATTAAACCATTTTTACCTAAAAAAAATGAAATATCGAAAAATTTGATTTGATTTGATTTGATATAAATTTGAAAAAAAACTAAAACCTACACTTAATTAAACGTGTTCAATGTCTTTTTCTGTTACAATACGTTTAACCATTTTAGATGAACAATAAAATATTCTGTTATAGACACTCGAACTAATTGTGATTTATTATCCTTTTATACATTCATTCTTGATTATGGTTCATCCTCTATATCTCTCGCTTGCTCTCATTTAAAATCATTTGTCAATATATCACCACCTTTTATTTCTCTCTAAATAAGTCTTGATCAGATCTGTGAATATTTTTCATCTCGCACATACCCTGATACAATTGTATTGTTAATTTGAACAAGATTTATTTTGATACATGAATCTATATGACACATTTATGTTTGTCAAAAAGTAGACTCAGGTGAGAATTAAAGCTCATCGTTACTGTTTTATATATATATATATATATATACGTATGATTCTTTTTTCTCGGTACATATATAGAGTGTCTGTCCAATGGTATTAACAGAAAGAAGAGAACAATGGTACAGTTTTTTATTGTCCTTTTCTCTTTTTCTTTTACTCTTTTTAACAATGACTGTGATGGCTTGACTAATTTATGCGAATATGATGTAATAGAAAGAAGATTATATGTTGTATAGTTATACTTTTTCTAATCAAATTTGAGATTCAATACTCGAAAACTAAAACCAACTTGAGCTATATGAATAAAACATACGAAAGTTGAAATTAAACCTTAACACCTGCATATTAACTATTATATCGGTAATTATACAGTAACCACCATCCGAAAAGAAAAGATTGTCTTGATATAAAAACCCACAAAGAAATAATAATAATAAAGTTCTATTATTCTACTATGTAAATTTTAGTTCCTACCTTACTGCATCATGGAAAGTGGATAGTTCATCCTTTCTTCACCTATTATGATTGTGAAAAATTTTAAAAATCATTTCCCTCTCCTGGATGAATTTTTGCTTTCCACTATGCTGCACACTGATATACAGCATAACAAAAAAAAAAAAAAAAAGTTAAAAAAAACTTGTTAATTTGTTTTCTTAGAAAGTAAATTAACATTTCAGAACACATATCAGTATATCGTTTTCTCTATTTGTCTTTCTGAATATAAAAGATCACTATTGGATGCAAGGTAACATGGTTTTTTGAGGGAAAGAATGGTGTTTTAATGAGCATAGTGTCTCGTTCATATGTATATTTGTCAATATAGTTTATTATATTTGATTTCATTTGTTTTAACATATGTATTACATGTTCAAGGTAAACTTTATTCAAGCATGAAAACTATACCGAGTCTGACTGTGAGAAATATGATGATGGTCATGATATGATCAACTGTATACAGTTTCAAAGTATGTTGCTTGAGATTTTTCCAGAAATTATAGTATTGATGAAATACAGACAAAAAAAAGCTTTAAAGATATAAGATGTATCATCACAAAATATTAACAAATCTAGATGAAAACAAATATATAGTAAAATAAAAACTCACTATATTTTTTATGGTTTGGAAGTATTAAATATAATAAAAAAGTCAAATTCAAAACTAATACATACACAATAAATTTGCTTTCACAACGGACTTATAAAATCTTAGTGCTACGTGTAGATCATAAAAGCACTCACATTTCTGAACGGACATTCTAGATGTTCTATGATTTTCAGCCAGATTAATCAATCTGTTCAAAATGTACAGTTTCTAATAAAATTAATTTAAATTTCGTATTTGAAGTTCAAGTTATCGTTACATTATCTTCTTGCCACAAAACGTAGAGAACATCGGACTTTATCGTCTAGCATAGATCAGATCGAAAACTGGCCATATTCAACTGAGTAGACCCTATCTAAAATAATATTAGAAAAGTTTTTTGTGCCATGTAATTCACTACATGAGAGGGAATTCCATCAGTACAGAATGCACAGGATATTACCAACGAATTATCTGCGAAAAGTCTCGTATATTTTCAAATAAACTGCTATTATTTTCTAGATGCCAAAAACTAGATCAAGCAACATTGTCTCTCTAAAGCTTCTGATTCTGAACCACGCGAAGTTTTGAACAACGATTGCCTAAGATCAACCTTCTCCATAACTCTTACCAAGCAATTATCTAAATAGTTTGTATGGTAACTAAAAGGACATCAAAATTCTGAAAATTAAAATAATCACTAGTCGAATCGCTCTGTCCATCTCTATTCAGATGAAATTTATTGAAAAAAACAGTGATTTACTATATGTATGTTCTAAAAGGAAGTTTTTCTAAAGCGTTCAAGGTTTTATCAATCAGACTTCATCACGGTCAGACACTAAACTCAGCTCATAATGACTTACGCTGATTGTACAAATTATTTTTACTAAAAAGATTTTTCAGCAAACTAAATTGACGAGGAGACAAGTATGTATATGCAATAGAAAAAAAGAAGAACAGATACAAATCAATGACAATCGATTGCGAGTTTTTTGGATGAAAAAAAAAAAAAACCTAAACCCGTTATAGTTTTATTGACAGCCTACAGATAAATATACAGTACGATAGCGTACTGTTTCTTATCGGGTCACATTTCCAGTTTAACATATATTTGATTCAAATCGAACTAATAAACACTTCAAAAATAGTTTTAGTTATCATGTTATGTTCAAGTATAACTTTATCGATCGAAATATTAAACTATCCTTCAAAATTCTAACCTTTTTTTCGCCACTGGATATGTACAATCAATGCAACAAGAATATCATACACTCATTCAGTTACATGGAAAAAAGTCTTTGTATATTGCTTTAAATAAAAAAAATTTCAATGTTGACCCAACGGATATGACAAAACATTAGATTTGTACGTAATTAGACTATTTTAAATCGAGCTCATAAATTCAACATGAGACAGATTTGATCTTCATCATGACTCAACTGACTTTAATGAAAGTTCAATCAGTAAAAAAAAAAATCTTTATGAAATACATACCTTAATTCGAAGAAAACAAGTTGTGCTCGTTTGTGTGTGTCTAGTGTTCATATTTTATGTCTAATGACGGTGTAATATATGATGATAATAATCGATGTGTTTCAATTCGTTCGTCTATTACTAGTATCTAATTAACTAAGTCTAGTTTTATTTGTCATCATTTTGTCTCGGTCTGTATGGTAAATCTATTGATACTAATTGAGAATGATATAATTTTAAACGGTGGTAGACGATGTATAGACACGTTAAACTGATGATGATGAGATAGAACAAGAATTTGAACGTTAAAATGTTTGTTGTTGCTAAAATGCTATGTCCCCTTAGTGGACTCAATTTTAGGACAACAAAATCATTCTATTCTAGTTATTGTTGTTGCTTCTTCTTCTCTTTTTTTTTAATACAGAAAAAAAAAAAAAAGCTCAATATTTCTTCTTAGTGCTTGAAATAATAACTCTTCTTAGAATGATTTATTTCTTTTTTTCTTAAACGACATTTTTTTTTTAAACAATCATCATCAATGAAAATAATAGGATGGCCCTGAACCTCCAAGTCTTGCCTGACCGTATATACACACTCACATACACAAAGTACTACAATACATATATACTCTGCACGTCTCATTGGACACAGAAAACGATGTGAAAGTGCGAGCATGGAGAAACTACAATATTTCTATCAACTTTTCTTTTTTTATAACATACAGGTATGTAATGTACATATACACATTCATTCAACAGAGCGCAATGATTTTTCTTTTTCTTGAATCTTATTCAAAAATTGAATAATATAAAAAAAAAAAAAAAAAAAATCTATACAATTGAACATGTATATATAACTAACTCTTAAAGTATATGAGGAAGGAAGAGAGGATAAAATAAAATTATGGGCTTCCTCTGCATATATAATTAACGTGTAAATGAAAAAAGAAATTTAATCCATAGAACCAACTACCTTCATTTAAAATTAGTTTCAAATCTTTTTTGAAATTGAGCTCAAGAACGTAAGACTAAGGTTTCAAACTGAATTTTTTCTACTATTAAAAAAATAAATAAATATATCCTTCAAATATTTTTTGGATAAGTTCAATCAAATTAAATTTATTCCAACTGTCATACAGTGTCAAGTGTATATAACAATATAGTACACGTTGTCTTAACGGTAATCGATCTTCAGGTAAAATTTAACTATACAAAACAAAGACAATAAGTACCATATTTTTAAAGGTAACATACCTTATGAGTAGCAATCATTTGGTTGAGAGGCCAATTTGAATGTCATACATTACATACAAGTGAAAACTTTTTATTTAGCATTTTATTTTCCCCTGAATATAACAAACAAAAAAAAACTTTTTTTTTTTTTTTTTATACAAATCTACTAATATTCATGGAAAGATTTTCGTTTATATACAAAAAAATTAAACATGATATGTCCTAATAATAATTGAAAGTCAATTACAAGCATAATAAACGAAATTGTTTTACATAAGAATCTAAAATTTGAAAAACACAGCACAAAAAGGGATATTTTAAATAACCAAAATAAGAGCTAATATCTAAAAAAGATATATATATTTTTTTTATTTTATAAAAAAAAGTAAATAAAAGTGTCATTATTTTGTTCAGAAAAATACTTGTCGTACATTTAATTTTTTACTGTTGTTTGTGTTCGATTATTATTATTGTTGCCACCCCAATATTTATTCATATTTTGTTTTGCACGTTCAAGCGTTTGTGAAGCTAAACTACAACTTGAACTCAATGAACGAGCTGAATTAATACTCAGAACATCGTCATCTAAACAAATTAAAAAAGGTACGTTATTTTTTAGAGATTTTCTTAATCTTAAACATTCAACTCTTCCTCTTTCATATATAAAAAAAATTCATTGAGATTAATAGCTTTAAGTATATTCCTGTAGCCTTCTTACCATTGTCTTGTTGTCTATTGACATTATATGTTGTACTAAATCCTTCATTTAATGTGTTTAAATGATTTTGTAATGATTGGTTTTGTTTATCATTTTTTCTTTCATCACCCGATGCATGATAATATTCTGGTATTTCATTTTTATATTGTCCATTTTGATAATTACGCTGAGATTCAGATGTATTATGATTAGCTGATGATTTTAATTTAGAATAGTTTAACGATGAATCTTGTTGTTGTTGTTGTTGTTTATTGTTTACTTCTGTTTTTAATTTATTGTTATCTCTCGCACTTTGCGTATAATTAAAATTATTGGAATTATCTTCATAGTCTCGAACATAACCTATAAGTAATTTCTATTATAGAGAACCATCAGCTCAAATCGTCTAAAATCTCTTACCATTAGACGGTAGATGACGTCGTTCAATGTTATGAGTGTCATATGTAGGACGACCCGCTGCCACTCTTGTACCTGTTGTTGATGGACGAAACTCATTCTTAAATGAAAAAAGTTTGTCATAATAGTGTTTGAGTAACCAAAAACCTCTTTAACTAACCTTATACCATTTACTATCTAAAATTAAGTTTTCAAAAATATTATTAATGTTAACAGAAAAATTTATAATATTTACCAGTTTGTTGATTATATTTCGATGGTGATGAATGAGTTCCAACTCCACGTGATTTATTCGTCACTGTTGTATTCTCAAGATGATCTGTTGATGTTCGTATGCCATAATTATCCTCGACATCTCGTTCTTTCAATTGATAATGTTTACGACGTAGTTCTCTAGCCGTGTTCGATTTTAAATCCCTTTTAGAAAAAGTAAAATGATCAGATCTAACTTGAATTCATTATGCAATAGAACATACATATCCAATGGATTTGTATCTTGACTATATAAACTTTCAGAATCCCATGCCATATGATGTTGAATCGAAGATGAGCCAAGATTTCGAACAAATGCTTTTGTTGCTTCAGTTGGACGTTGATGGTTATCAACATAGACAGTTTTATCTACTTGATGAGATCCGTCACTTTGTGTCGCTGATTCAGTGACATTTGGACGATTATTTTCACTTTGAATATGCTCATCTTTTGTGGATGTTTTTTGCTGCCTAAAGAATGAATAGAGATTATATTTTTTCTATTATGAATAAATCTATTTCTAATATAAGATAATACTTGATATTGTTTACACATTGTACAAAGTGAAAATAAAGTCTCACCTTGATTCATGTAGAATACTATCCAATTTATTTTCTTAATTTTTCTTTAGTACGGAATACAACAGACGTCAAAAATCATTGAATAAAGACTTACTCAATTTATTTACCTTTCATAATCATAGTGTATTTTTGATTGTATTTCTTGTTGATGTGCTTTTTCACGTCGTCGCTGTCTGTCAACACGTTCTTGTTCCAAATATCTGAGATAATATATGTTTATCAATAGAGAAATATTTATAGTCGGGATATTTTAAGAAATTACTCCTATTATAAAAGTCAATTTCAAAATTAAATATTTAATCAATTTTGTTGAGGGTTACCGACTTAGGAAATGAGAAAAGAGAGTGCAAAAGGTTGAGAATGACAATATACCTATCATCAACTGATATTACACTATCATCATCATCTTGTTGCTGATTATCAATATCCCATGCGTTATTATCTCGTCCTTGTAATTGTAAAGTATAATTTCTACTAAAATGGTCAGCTTGTGCATTCTCTCTAAATTCGTTAGCCTTCTTTCTAGTTGATACCAATTCTTTATACCAAAATAAATTTGGATTGAAACCATCTGCTTCCTATCAAATATATAAAATCAATTATGTTAAATAATTCATAATTTTAAACAACATACTTACAGCTGCTGAATCACGAAACCATTTTCCATTTTTATAATCAAATTTCCAAAATGGCTTAAATGTTGTTTGATATTCTGATTTCCATCGTCTAATAATAGTAATTAGAACAAAATACTTCTTTAAAAATAGATTTTGACAAAGTAAAACAGAAATTCTATCGGTATTTTACAAGTGTAAGACTATTCTCGGCTCACCTTAGTTTACCATGCGGATATTTTCTATGTAATCCATAGTCAATATCACCTTCATCATCTGTATAAGCTCTTTCAGCCAATTGTAGTTCTTTACGTTTCTGAAAGAAGAAAAATGACGAATTCAAAAGTCATCAAGTACTTGAGATTAGTATTTGTTTCTTCATTTCTATAATTCTTAAATGTTGAGTAATAAATATAGACATATTTCTAGTTGTGTATTAGTAGATTAAATATAGACAAAATTTTAATTCAAGTTACGTTACGTACTCTGTCTTCCACTTGTTCAGCTTCATATGCTTTTCTCGTTCTTGGACGTTTTTCATTTTGTATGGGTTTAAATTTTGCTTGATATTCCGAGTCACGTTTTATACTACTTTTTGTTTGTTGTGATTCAACATTTTTGACTCTATTTTGATTTTTAATTTCAAAATCAACATGTACTGGAGTTGTTTGCTGTTGACTGTCAAATGCTAATTGTGAACGTTGCATTAGTTTTTCGGATGGATCAATGACAGATGAAGGTAGTATTGAATCTGTACATCGATCACGCTAGAAACAAATACAACTTCAAAAATTTATCAAAATAATTTGTGTAGTGAAAGATAGACTTACTAATTTTGCGTCTTCAATAAATAGCTGTTCGTTGGCTGGATCGATAACGGATTGTTTCCAATTGAATGAACGTTGATATTCTGTTTGAAGATCATCTCGTTTCTATATAACAAATGAAGACGAGATATTGAACAGCAAGTAAAATTTACTAATTTACTTTGACCAAAATAGATTCTCTTCCGGCATTAGAATCAAATGTTACATTTGGAGCTTGCTTCAATTCCTAATTGAAATAAGAATACAAAATATTCAATTTATCAAAAATATCGATAAACACACTTACGGTTTGTATTCCACACGAATGAATATCACTCGATTTATGCCGAAGAACAACCTTAATAAAAGTAATTGACGTATACTAGTTTCCAAGATACAGATTATTCTTCGTACTTTTGATTGTTCTTCATATGAAGGTATTTTCCTTAGTGGATAGGCAACATTATTTGCAAATTTATCTTGTTTTCCTAATATAGCAAATTCTTGTGGTTTTGCTACTGATGTAACGTTTACTGGTTCCCTTAGCCGATGCAAATAAGACTGAGAAAATTTATCATTTGGCCCGATGACAGCTAAATTTTCCGAACGACTTAGGCCTTGGCCGTTAACGAATGGTGACGAGTAACGATGATGTTCACGAGATTTTAAACGTCGATTGGGTTCTAAAGTTGAATGTCTAATGGGAACTACGTATAAATAAAAAGAAAGGAAAATAAAAAAATAGTTGAAGAAATAGATTAGAAAAACCAGATATCTTACCTTCGGTCCTTAATTTTCGCTCTTCTATTGTTTCTTTCTTCGGACTCCATTTCTGATAATTTCGTTTATATTCAGACTATAGAAAAAAGAAATTTTATTATTTTTTATGCGAGCATGTATTGTTGATAGAGAATGATGTAGGAAACTTTTCATTTACAATAATTTTAGAGAGATGTTTGATTTTGAGTAACGAAATTCAAAAAACTAGCTTGGATAAACAAGTTGCTAAAAAATGTAGTTTACATATTTACAATTCGAACACCATTTATAACTAATAAATTGTCTCGTAAAGGAATATTTTAACCGAACGAAAAAGTAAACGTTAAAACTATACTATAATTTTGCTGAAAGAAAGAGCGACAAGAGATGGCAGAAAAGTGCAGGAGGGGGGATTGATTTCTCTTTAACTAGAAATTGAATTAAATAAAAGTTCACCTGATATTTCATACTACGACTGAAAGAAGGTAGATTTAATCTAAAATATTAAGAAATGTCTGGCATATATACACACAGAGAAAATCGTTTCGTTTTATAGCTCAAATCGTGTAACGCATGATTCTGTCTATTATCTACGCGAGCTTATGGTGTATGACAATTGACTCGGTTACATAAGTCAAGATCAAATGCTATTAGGTATGCATCAGTGTCAGTGTTCACACCGGAAAACTAGTACTGGTTGCACACTGTTACAGTAGCTCTGTTCTTTTTTTATAATAGTGAAGTTCGTATTTCATGTAAAGTATAGAGATGTACTCTCTTGCTATGCCGTGCGCATTTAGTGAGCATAGTATCTCAAGCTTTTACTTTTGAGTAGAAGTTTCCTCAAGTACTGAGATGGTCAGAAATAAGAATCTTCATTATCCATAGAAAAGGCTTTTTTAGATATCTGTATCATAGCTTGTTTTTCGCTTCGCTCTTCCTTTTAGACCTATTGTAAAAGATGTCGTTTTATTACAGTCTGTTTGTATATATTAGAAATAGTATGAAACCAGTACCATTGTGAACCAGTGCGGATGTGACCAGTATCTAGTATACAGACACTGATGCATACCTAAATGCTATTACCAAATTACGACAGTCAGCGTAAATAATCAAAAATTGCATTACGGAGTCGTGTTCGTGAAGTACCTCACCCGTGAGATTCTCCCAGGCAGGCTCTTCTGCGGTCTCTTAGCCATTACGAGCACACTTACGCGACAAGTATCTAGGCAACGCTAAAAAGAGAGCGGCAGATAATCGATGTTTTGAGTTTCTTCACTTCAACATTCGATGTGTGTGTTCTGCCACAAGTGCAGCTGACAAACTTTAACGAAACATTTTTCAAACTTCCACGGACGACAGTGATATTTTTATCCATACTTAATGCATAACGACATCTAGTATTTTAAAATGGACTCTTAATCAGTTTTAGTTTGAATGTTCATAAAATTAGCATATTCAAATTTCCTCTTTTGTATAACACGATCACTTGTCAGATTAGACCCGAGGTGCACCTATAGCGGTTCGAAAACCCAGATGAACGAAAACGGTTTAGTTAACAGTCCGTAAACGTTGAGCCAACCGACGTGACACGTTTGCTGAAAGCAGTTATCTTTGAGCTTCTATCTCAAAAACATTATTTTATTCTTTTTCAATTTTCTATATTTCGTGTACTGGGTGAATTCACGTGAAACATACCACCATCACATCGAACCTCGGTGCCAGATAGCACGGTTTTGTAGCATGTGCTGCGCTGAATTTATTGGTACAAACCGCAGGTCTCTAGCTCTTCCGGATTTCCGGAAAAGTTTCAGCGCAAACCGTAAGACCAACTTCATTTTGTAGAGCTCGTCAAGGTGAGTCTAGCTGCACAAACCGCAGATCTATAGCTGTTGCGGAAAAAAAAGCAACCGATATTAATCCTGATTCTTCGAATTTTTGGTTTTGATGATTGTTCCTAATATTAATTCTTGATTTGACTATACCCATTTTCACATGAAAAAACATCCAGAAAGAATTACTCTTTCTAACATGTGTAACTCGATCCTTCTACAAACTGGATGTATTAGAATCACGATTATCACCAGAGGAGGTTTTTTCTGTAAGAAACAGTCCCCTACGGCGACTGTCAACAACTCTTTTTGTAACCGTCAGGTAACGCCCTAAAGCCCTTGAGCTAACGGTACAAATTCTCTATCAAATCCTTTCTTCGCAGTCACTTGTTTACTGTTTAGAAGCGACTAGTTGAGCGACTAGTTTAGTACAATTTTGACTGAGTTATGAATTTTATAGTTTGGGGTGAAAATAGTGAAAAATAGATGGTTTCATCTAATATAGGTTTTCACTATTCTTCTGAAGCTGTTTCGCAAAGCAAACATTCGCATGAGATTCAGCGTGATGGATAACATATGTTTCCATGCATTATCAAATTTCTAAAGATCATGAAAATCCGATTCTAAGATGTCTCAGGAAAAATCCGCTTCTGCTCGAACGATCGCAGATGAAACTGTCGAGTTTTGACGGACATGTAGATTAAATGTCGCTCTATGTCAGGAGTGTTTTCAAACATTAGACTTGCATGAAACGTTAGGGAGCGGCAATCTTGCCTTTGAAACATCGATCAGGTATACCGTGGTAGACCTCATTGGTAGAATTGATTTATGCATAAGAAGATGCTATCAGGTCCTAGCTACAAGATACTGGAAGCCGCAGGTCTTCATCTTGCTCCGTTAAAAAAATGACCGCAACCACTATACATTTGGACAGATATGAACCTGTATTTTTACCATGTTTAATAGAACTAATTCCATCAAGTATGTAGGACTGAGAGCCACATTCTCTAATGATGCTTCAACGATTCAGTATTGGAAAAAGAGAAAATTGCTAACTATTTGAAGAAGGTCAGTATTATGTATATATCACTCGTTACAGCAAAATAAAATGTGAATATCTTGTAACTAAAACGATCCCTCAACTAGTCGCTTCTAAACAGTAAACAAGTGACTGCGAAGAAAGGATTTGATAGAGAATTTGTACCGTTAGCTCAAGGGCTTTAGGGCGTTACCTGACGGTTACAAAAAGAGTTGTTGACAGTCGCCGTAGGGGACTGTTTCTTACAGAAAAAACCTCCTCTGGTGATAATCGTGATTCTAATACATCCAGTTTGTAGAAGGATCGAGTTACACATGTGAAACAGTTTTTAGATAAAACGAACACGTTTTCCAGACATATAAGATATTGCATATTCTATATGTTATTGTTGTTAGAAAGAGTAATTCTTTCTGGATGTTTTTTCATGTGAAAATGGGTATAGTCAAATCAAGAATTAATATTAGGAACAATCATCAAAACCAAAAATTCGAAGAATCAGGATTAATATCGGTTACTTTAACTGGTGAAAGATCGATGATGCACCGACGCTGAAATGAACTCACTTCAGCATAATGGATAGAAGCAGAAATGGAAAGAAGCAAGTGATATATGTTATATATCACTTGCTTCTTTCCATTTCTGCTTTCATCCGTTCCATATTAAATATTGACAGATTATACTTTCGCTCTCTCTAATTATGCAAAGATTATAAACTGGACGATTGTTTGCCAAAAGTTGCCATTTATTTACTGATATACGAGTCAAAAGTGTAATACTGTTCATTCTAGCTATCATGACAGTTATAGTAAGCTGCTTTCTATAAAACAAAGTACATAATCTCAAAAATAGTTTGTTTTGTTCAATATCTGATTAGATGTCTCACGAACACTGTCAGTCTTTTTTTGCTATTGTGTGTTATATGTTAAATGGTAAACAAATACAGATATTGATTAACAAGTATAACTCTGGCATATTTTCCGTATATTTCAGATATGTTCGTGTCATTGGCAATAATTAATGGAAGAGCCGAGAGGGATATTATGTCAAGACCATCGGCTATAGGTATCAAAGAGCATTTACTAAATATAAAATTATTATTTAATACCTATGTATTGACAATATCGAATATTTTCTAGCTTTCTTTTGTTATTTTTGGTACTATATCTGTGATAGAATCCCGTTAAATTCAATATTCTTGGCATATGAAAAGTTTGATGTAAACCAATTGAAAAATTCTTCTGACTAAAGCTGCAGTTTGATAATTAGTCGAAATACGCTCAAGGACTGCAGAGAAGATAAGGGACAATCGAAATTTGATATCAGCACACCCCGATGGTACTATCATCCATACTTTTCTTTCTTCTTCTTCTTAATTGTCTAATGTCATATTTTAATTAGTTCACAACTCGTCTCTCTCTAAATACAAATCATTTTATGCGGAAGGATAGAATTGAACTGTGGTTGTTACTATGACATTATTAGTAGACGTTAAAATCTAAGTAACATAAGCACATTGGTGGTTCAATAGAATTTCTGTACAGTTTTGAGTGAGAAAAATAAGGAATAGTTAGAAAACTCTTAGCGAACAATAAAAGTTTGTCGCATTTTTACTATGTTTTCTTGTCGCGTACAAGATACACTTGTAATAGCTTTACTGAGAAATTTATTATTTGCACAGAAAAGGAAATAATAAAATAATGTTATCAAACTAGAAAGAGAGAAAAAAAATTTTGAAGTCGATAAGACAAAAACAATCGCAAAACAAAGAAGAAAATAACAACATACATAGAAAATTTGACACAGAAAAAAAAATAGTTGATTGTATATTGACAGTTTAACGGGGTTTTTCTTCTCTTTTTTTTTTATACAATTTGGCTCGTTCACTGTTATCCTCCCCCATTATGATGTCTTCATTGCTCTCAGATCATACAGCTTGTATTCTTGAATAATACAGTCCACTACTTGTTTCTGATAATTCGGATGATGCACAACTATTAGGAGCATAACATTTATCTTTATTATTTGATTTTATTTGTTTGGACGAAGAATAACGATAATTGTCCTGATTATTAATGTTGGCAGTTGATTGTGGACTATTACTAGAATTATTTGTTGTTCGTGTTAGAGTATCAGCACTAGCAGTGGAATTAATATTAATCATATAATCTTTACATACTCTATTATTTGTTGACATAAATCCACCATTACCATTATGATACTGTTGATGATTAATCATTGGTCGATGTGATGGATGACAATTTGATGTTTTTAATAATTTTTGTCGTCTTCGTGTACGATGATAACAGAGTATGAATAATAATATTAAACCTATTAAAAATATTGGAATTAAAATAAAATAAATCAAATTATTATTGGTACTATTCGATGATGTGGAATTTTTTGACATTGAACGAAAATCTAAAATAAATAAAAAAATATATATATATTTTTTTTTAGTAGTTTATATCTCTATTTAAACAACATACCAATATCAACAACTTGTACAAATGCTTTTTTGTAAGTCATTACATGATTATTTTGAACTAGACAAATGTATGTTCCAGAATCTGTTTCTCTTGTTTGTTGAATAATAAATGGACTTGATATAAGATGTTCATTTATATTCGGTGTTTCATGTTGAATTGTTTCATATTGTACAGAATCAATAACAAGAGCATTTGAACGATAATAATCATTTGGAAGACGTTTTAACCACTAGAAATAATAAATAGATAAATTATTAATTTTAAAAAAAACTGTAATCTAAAATCATAGATTATACTTGTATTCGTGTTTGTAGATCATTTATTTGAATTTTACAATTTAATATTAATTTTTTACCAGATTCAATGGTGATATTTTCTGGATCATTATCTAAAAATTGAACTTTTTCTAAAAATAAATAATCTCATTTATTCATTTAAGATTAATTATTAGAAAAACAAACAATATCTCTCTACCTGTTACAATAACGATATAAGTGGCATTAATGAAACCATTTTGATTTGATAATTCACAAGTATAATTTCCCGTATCAGATTGTCGAAGATCTTTAATTTCCAATATTTGTTTTCTAAATAAAAAATTAAAAAAAAAATAAATAGAATAAAATAAATAATTTTTAATTTATATGATTATTTATAAATATGTCTGATACTTACGACGTCATTCCATATTCATCTTCACTTAATATTTTTCCATTTTTTTTCCATTTAATTTCAGGTTCTGGTTTTCCTCTTGCTAAACATTTCAATTGAATAGTTGTACCTTCTGGTTGAATTAATTTTGTTGAGATTAATTCAGATCTCGATAAAAACTGTGGCGCTTCTAAATTAATTGATAGAATTATTAAATCAATAAATTACAGAAGAATTTTTACTTACCTCCATTATTTATCTCTCCTGATGGAAGAAAAGATTTTTGAAATGGTTTATCTGATTGATTGGATGGAATTATTGTAGTTGAATTAGCTAAACATATTTTTAAAAAGAAAAAAAATAGTACAAAAATCTAAAAATTATATAATTTTTTAACATACATTTAATATTCAATTGAATTTCTGCCGTAATACTTCCAAAACCATTTACTGCCATACATTTGTAAAGACCTTCATCAGATATTTTTAATTTTCGAAATTTTAATAATAAACGTTTTATGACAATTTGTGTCCATGTTGAATCAATTTCTTCATTATTTTTATACCATTGAATACTTAAATTAGGTTCAGGAGATACTGGACATTCCATTTCAAATAGTTCATTTTCATTTCCTTCGACAATTTTTCGATTGGTTGAAATTAATCTTGGTGGACTACCTAAAAATAAGAACAATTATTTGACAGTTAATCTATTCAGTAAATATTATTTTGTCTTATATTAGACATATACATACCTTTACTATATACGAATATAATTGAAATAATGACAATGACAAGTGTTTGAAATAATGATAATAACATTTTGATTAGTATAAATAAAAATGTCCTAAAATAGAATAAAAAATACTTTGATATTCAACTAATAAGTCGACCATCTGTTTTATTTATAAAAAAGAAATGATTTTCTCAATTATAATAAATTTTTCAGTAGTATAAAATTATATATGAATATCAACTATGGCTCACTGATCAATTGAAACCTATATAAAGTGGAAAGAAGAGAGTCTCTTTTTTTTAATAATACACACATTGTTTTTTCTTTTACATCAGATAAAATAACTCAAGATATAGAGTTAGCGTCTGTTTATTTTAGAAAATTCAATATGTTAATTGATAAGTAAAAATAATCTCTCTAATCTAAAGCACTATCATTTTTGTTACCGCAATCAGATTTATACTGTGACTAATCTATAACTCATCACTATTAGACTAATTAATAAATAAATTTTTTAGAAAGTTTTTGTCGATTTGAATACAATGAATTAGTCTTTTGAATCGACTAAGGGAAACTAACGGGAACTTATAGCTTCTTTTGGCTTATGTTACATTTTTCGCTATTCAGAAGAGGTATACAAGTTTTCTATTGATACCTTCTTTCAATTAATCATTTAACTTCATCTGTATGTGTATCCTTTCCGAATTCTTCTTTTTCTGTTACATAGAATAAGTCAATATCAACTATTTTAAAGGATGTCTAACCAAACTAAATCAAATTAAAAAGTAACAGATATGATGCGATTCGTCTCAGAAAAGTTGGCCTATTTCGAACTCTGACTTGTATGTTACGACTGATTAGATGAGAATCTACTACTTTATATTTAACTACGTAAAGTTTCATTCATTGATTATGCAAGTAGGTATTTTCAATGAAATTATTGAAATTCTTTACATAAGTTCAATATATTATTATTGGAGAATTGCAACCTTATAGATTATAATATTTTTGCAACTGTATCTTTCATCAGATTCTAAACTTTTTATACTTGAATTTTAATGACTTTCTCATTAATTCGTTTGACTCGCTTCATCAACTCCCGAAACATAATTTATTTCTAGGTCTTTATTCTAGACAGTCTCTCGAGTCGAACACTCACTCCGATTGTTCAGTTTCTCTACTAGTTAATTAATAGTCATGTGATGGTATATCTGTGTACATGAATAAATAGTGTCTCTTCTTCGATGAGATAATTAATCACCCACTTTTCAGCGTATAGTATATATTATAAAGAGTAAAAACAAAGAATCAGTTAATCGATAGCCATCTGTAACATTATTGCATTCGTTTTCTATATTCTGTATAAAATGTAAATACGATTTTGGTAAATGTCTTGACTTTCTCTGAGGTGCCATTCTATTCAGTTAACTTTTCAGTCTTTTCATATCATAGTCAATCTTACAGTTAGGTAGTATCTTTAAGCATATGCTGATTATTTTCATAAGTGTCTATTTTGTGTTCATAGTACAATGTATGTTAAAATAAAATTTAACACTTTCTGTACTCATTATGCATGTACATGTAGTTCCTTTTCATTTGTTTTTAGCATTCGGAAAATGTATATAGTGAGAAAAGCAAAACTGTATGACATGAACAACCTTCATGTGTTCTCTCTCTCTCTCTCTTCTACAAAATACTATTCAAGGACTAATTGAAAGTGAAGTATATCAAATCAATAATAATATTTCGATGATCGACAGCTATTGTGTTCTTTGATAGTTCATTTCATAGGCATAGAAGAAAAAAGAGCAAAGTGAACAATTCATTTTACAATGATAATGACTAAAACATAGTGTGCAAAACGAACGCTTTAGTTGCCTAAAAATCGATCCAAATAGCAGACGATCTTAAGCAAATGAAGTATTACTACTACTGATGAATCTTTTATATTTGCTCTATGGAATCTAATCATACAATTAAAAAACTAATAACACAGTTAAGTTGAAAATAACTGCGAAAAAATGTCTATGTGACGGACTTATGCAATTGTTTATCTGTCAATAATATAGATTTGGAGTGTATTTTTTTTTTTTTCGAAAAGAAAAAAAAGCAGTTTTATCCATGAAGATGTAAACATAAGAATAAAATGTTAATTAACAGTTAGATGAAGTGCGTTGTATACATTTCAGTTGAGTTATATAATAGAAATTCTTATTATTGTCGCTGTCTAGTAACCTATATCACTTCCATTATCAGCATCCGCATGTATACATAAAATTAAACTTTGAAGTAAATAGCAATAGATAGTTTAGAAGAATAAAAGAAAATTAAGCATATACATAATACAGATTTCTATATGAAAGTAACTCTCTTATTTCTTCATAATTGTTTTTGACATTCAAGAAGATTTTTGGATCATATAAAGATCTGTTATGCTCAAATACAACCACTATTACCAATAATGTTATTATCTAAAGGTGGGGCGAGAGATAAAAATTAGAAATCACAATTCTAAACGCTTTTCATATATTCTTAGTTCGAGATTTCTATGACGTGACTATATAGTCATCTCCAATTAGACTTCCTTCATGAACTCTAATCTCTATTAATGTTTGTGCAATCTTGTTGAAAAACAATTATGAGTAAATATCTATGTATAATATAGAAGGGTTGATGTGAATGCACGATAGTGAATAGTAGATAGATGATGATCATTTTCACACCAAAACGTCAGATATGACAAATTATTCCACGCAACAACAGAAAAAAAGAGAGTGTATATATATATTGTTCATAAGAACTGTCTAGCATGATAATGACTAATGCTGAACTACTATAAAACTTGTTTTAAAAAAAAACAGAACCAACATTTAAATAATAAGATCTTTTTTCTTAATTTGTATTTATCATCGAATAAACATTTTTATACAGAAATAAATGAAAATCTGCAGGAGATGAATATCATTCATTCGATCTATTTAGTTGTCATGATGGTACCATGGTAAAAGATAAATGATCATCATCAGTATCATTATTTAACTAGATAATGGACAATATAGTTAAGCCGTTTCACATGAAACATTCATTTTTTACATTTAGACAGTCCTTATAGAAGCTCAATTCATACTTCTCTCTCTCTCTCCCTCTTTCTCTTATGTTATATCGAGTTTCCGCAAAGAAGCAATGATTAGAATGATTCGTTCATATCCAATCATACTAAATTATTCTTACAATCTTAGAACCTCAAGCGATTTTCAGAGAGTCATTTGAAAATCTATTTATGATTACTACTTTGTTTACTGGTTGATTAAGAATCTAAATGAAATTTTATTATTCTTCCGTGTCCAATTACCTATCACTCTTTTGGTTACCGGTATAATACAATATTTATCGGCGCATATCAAACCGTAACAACATTATAATCCATATACTACATATCAGTAAGAAATATATTGCCTACGCTAATTATTAAAAAAATCGAAAAGAAATTGAATACTATATGCATGTCGATATATATATGTATATATCTACTCAATAAACAATAGAGAAAAGAATTTTTCTTTGAAAATACTATCTGACTTAAAAGTAGCATAAGATATTATTTATGATCCAAAAATAGAAGCAACTTAAGCTAAACTTTTTTATCTTGATTTAATATCTCTGTATCAAAAGAGAAATGTATTTTTAATGGATTAGGAGCAAAAATAAACATATTTACAGCAGCACTTTTATAATTAGAATTGAAATGAATGAGATAGGAACATTGTAGTGGAATACTCATAAAAATAAAACAGCACATATGAACTTGTACAGTAATTTTACTATAAAAAGTGACAAATATAGAAAACATCAGATGTAATGTTACCTGTAAATAAATAAATTCGTTCCAAAATAAATAAATTTGAATCAATAAAATAAATTTGAAAAATGAGAAGACATTTTTTTAATAAATATCAATTTTTAATTTGTTATGTACTATAGACCACGAGTTAGATACGAATATTGGAAAAAAAAGTATGTGAAATAGAACAAAATTTATGATGAATAAAATAAATTTCTTTTCATTGTAATCTGGCACAAGTGCATCTTCGTAAAGAATTTATTTCGTTTTCTTCATGTTTTTTTTTTGTACAGTTCGCGTGATAATAAAGAGCGAAAGGGAAAAAAAAAGAACTATATAGTTCTTTTTCTCTATCGAATGGCACTATAGTACATATACGAGAGAGAGAGAGAGAAAGAAAGAGAAAATGTTTGTATAAAACCAAAGAAGGCAGAAAGATTTCTTGTTGGTCAAGTTTCAAATATAGATATACTCTCTACTATCTTCAGCTATATTTCATGCAAAAATTATAAAAGCAAATCAATCACGAAAAAGGAAAAGTGACAGACTATCACTAATTTGTATATATCTGGCTACTATCACATGAAAAGAAGAAAGTGTATATCGACTAATCAAAAATATGGGTGACATTCACGCCATGCGTCATAGAAACTAAAAACGAAGAAATAATCTCTCAATTTTCAATTGATCAAGTTTTTAGTATTCATTCTTCCAGTACACTATAGTATATTAAAGATTATTTGACTTTCAATATTGAAGAATAAATATTTTTTTCAAAAAATGTGTTTCATAGCGTGTCAGCGGCTTCTTTTTATAGTTTATTAGGATCTATGAAGTGATAGAATGTCTGTTCGTCATACAACTTCAAGAAATAGCTATTTCTCTATCGATTTGCGTGTGTACTCAAATTCAATTAATATTTTAATTAATTAATTTTAATAGTGGTATTATCATAGACATTAATTTATTAACATAACACTCTATCGTTTATTCAAATCTATGTATTGTCTCTCATTTTAGAAATATTCGTTTAAAGACGATAATGATGATAAAGTAGATCATAATGATTATCATCAAAATAAAAAATTTATTACTAAACTGTTATGTAGATGAAGAGATATTTTAAGTCTGAATAAAAAGACAAATTACTATTACCATAAATAACTGATTGATTAAACAGATGTTGATCGCTAAAAGGACACCTGCTTATACTTGAATACTCTGTCAAAATAAACAGAAATCTCTATAGCTTATTATGAATGTAACAGTAGCAGCAAGTCTAATAATTTATTTGGAAAATGTTCCTCTAGACATACTTTTCTTACATTCATATTACAGTCTTACATTTTAATTGATAGTGGTCTCAAATTTCTCAGTGTTTGGTTTGGGCGTGAGGGATTTATGGGAAGTGGCTACTGTCAATAAGAAAATTTTAACGAACATTTGTTAAAATTGACAACTGTAAACGAATTACGTGAATATTTGTTGGTCACACTTTACTCATAAAAAAATACGACTATATTCCTATGTTAATTATGTTATTCATTATTAAATAATCATTTTTAAAACATCTATAAACGTCAGAGTCATCAGTAACTTCGAAGTAAATTTCATTGATAGATTGAATTTAATATTATTTGAAATTATCTAAAATATTATCGTTATGTTTTAGATGTATTGGATTACACAGTTTTAGTCTTTTTTAGTACATCAAATGTTAGAATGTTTATTTTAGAATTTAACTTATTGTATTAACACTTCTTATTCAAAGATTGAACATGAAAGAAAAATATGTCTCTTGAAGGAATGGAGGAATATAAAATTTCATATTGCCTCCGTATATAACGGTCTCTTTTCTTTTTTTCTTGTTGTATTTTTAAGGATTATATTTAGAAGGGAAAACATAAGTTTACATTAGCAGTTGTCATTTTTATACATATGGTAAACACCAAAGTAAAAGTGTTCAATAGACAAACATTCATAAAAGACTATACATACTCAAATATAATATTCTTAGAGAAATATCATCTTATAAAGGATCAATATAGTATACTTTAGTTCATTTTATATAAAAAATATTTTAATAAAATTAGAGGTTCAATGAATATGATTGAGTGTATGTTTTGTTAGCAGATAGAAAATTTTAAATTACAATGGAAACTTGATTTTGAAGATGACGATGTTATTGTAACATCTTTAAGTAAAGAATAATAAGAATGTTATTTTTAATCATTTTATTATATCCATGCTGAGATTTAATATTAAAAACGAATGATTAAGTTAAATAAATAAAGAAAGAGATGTGATTTTTTCTAAAAACAGTTATTATATTTGTATATATCATCAATGGAAGTGTGTTTTTGCTTTAGATTATCATACATACACATAAACCATATACACATTGTTGTTGATAGTTCTACTCAAATGATTCCATAGACAATGTAGTCAATCAAAAAAATTGTGTGTGTTCATCATCATATTATTAGCATTTGTTTATTTTAACGACAGGGATGTTTTCCAAGTGCCAATTTTTAGACTAAAGAATATAAACCGTTTCTAATCAGACATAACTTCACACATCTACACACACACACAATACATTTAAGAAAAACATCTTCCATTCTAAGTTAAACACTGACCTATTAGAAGAAATAGAAGCGAATGAAAAATGTTCATCAAAATGCAAAAAGATAACATTATTGACTCACAATATGCTTTTTCTTCCATGCTCTTTATAGATATGGTGGAAATAACAGCATTATCTATCTACTCTTGATTAATTTTAAGTTTTTATATGTTCAATCTAAATTTGAAGAACAACTTTTATTTTAATTCTAACATTTAAACATTTTTAAAATGCAACGTACAACTAAAACAAACAAACATATTATAATACTTCAGTAATGTATTTTCAATTACTTTTGAAAAAATATAGTTTTGATCTTTGCACTAAGTCTAAATTAAAGAACAGAAACGGTACTAGACTCTTTTTAACAAGAGATTTTTCAAGACTTATAAAATATTCTATCGAATACGATAAACAAGCTAAAAAATACCAGTAGATTAAGACCATTTATATCGCTCTTTTCCATATTTAAACATTAAGGACAAGACACACGTTTTTGATTGTTTATATTCGACTTTTCTTCGCCATATTTAGCGGATACCGCAGCTACAGCAGCCACTTTTTGAGTCACTTTTTGTTTTCGTTTTTCTTCAATTAAAACGTCAATACATATAGTAATAATAGACATTAATATAAACGCACAACCTAAAATTATAATCATTCAAATCACAATTTATAGATTTTATTATTTTTCTTACCTAAATAGGCAATCCAATCACTCTTTGAGTTTCTAAAAATGTTTTGTAAAAATAATGCTAATACAATATCTATAGAATAAGTTAATGTAACAATTGTCACTTTTTCTCGTTTGAGTGCCTTTTGATTTCCAATAAAAACAAATATGGATGCTAATGCTAGTCCAAATCCTGTAAATAATCTCCAATCATGCGGTACCGATTTACTACCGATTATAAAATGTGTATATATAACTAATATGATAGAAATGACTAGTGAAAATGCCGATGACCAGAAACATAGAATACTGGTATGCAATCCTGCATTCAATAGTATTTTATTCAAAATTATACTAATACTGAATGCAATAGTTGCTATTAGAACTAATATGGATCCGAATAAATAACTTGATGTTTTCACAAATTGAAAACTAGAAAATGGAGTATTTAATGTTGAATTGAATTCTGACGGTAATAGATTTTCACGAAACAATAGTGTTTGACGACCAATTAATATAACAGCAATCATCGTTAAAATAAACGCAACAATACGAGGAATAGTTATACGTTCTTTGAGAAATATTAAAGCTAATATAATTGTCCATACAATTTGACTTTGTCGAATAACCGATAAACCTGGTAATGAAATATAATAATAGGCAAGATATATTGTAGAAGTACCAATAGCCATCATAAGTCCACGTAATATTATTCGTAATCGATATCCTTGTGGTCCAAGAATATTGTAGTTTTTATAAATTGCATAAACAAAAAATGCTACTGTTTGTGCCAACATTTGTAACAACAGACCGAATAGCAAATCAAGACCAATAGCTTTTGTTATAAAAATTATAATACATAATGAGAATGTTGTGAGAAATGCCCACAGAATACCAGATAAATGTGATAGAAATCCTTCGTTTTGAGTTTGTGCAGTAAATGACGGTGGTGATTGATGATTGATTGTATCGATATTATTCATTGGTTTTTCAGTTTCTGGGATTGCTATTGTTGCTGCTCGACGTGAGTCAACCATTGTTGAACGTCTAGAACCACTCATAGCCATTGAGCGTCTAAGACCATTTGCTAACGATTTCTGTTCTTCGGGTGTTAATTCGTCAATAATTGAACGTTGACGCTGATATTGTGGTAGTTCAATAATCGTAGCTGCACGAGAACGTTGAACCGTATCAGCTTCTTGCTAGAAAATTAGTATATGAGATTTTAATTTCATAAAAGTAATTATCACAGTTATATGCTTACACTTATTATAATTTCTCCTTTCTTTGCACTATCTGTTGGTGCTGTTGAATATGCCAGCGATGATGTTGGACGAAGTAAAGATCTTACCTGATCAAGGAGACCACTATCATTAATACCGTTTGATATTGAAACAGTAGTCGCATCATCATTATTGATCTCAAGTGTTGTAGTTGAACTATTAATATCATCATCTTTATTTAAGCTGTAAATTGATTGTGAATCAGTGATAAATTCTCCATCAATAGGAAAACGAGGAAATGCTGGTGTATCACTAAGATCATTCGCATCATTGAGATTTTGTGTATCGGCAGGTGGTTGTAAAACAATCATCGACAAGTGGTCATCACCTACTACATTTAACAGGGGAATTCTTGGCTGATCATCAGCTTCAGGTACAGTTTTCATTGATGCATTAGACAGAGACGTTGTTTCATCCGCAGTTTCCCATTCATGATGTGAAAGCAATTTCTCTCGTTCGTTTTCTTCTGCAATATTAACCACATCAAAATACTAAACGAGAATTGAGAAAGTCAATGAAATCAAGGGGAAAACAGCAGGCTAAAATTAGCCCAAAATAAGTCGAAAATGACCCAAAATCAATTGATTTTCAGTGATTCTCAGTTACCCTCTGTAATTCTCTGTGATTTTCAATGACTTCCTGTCATTTCCGGTGACTTTTCATTCGATCAAAATCACTAAAATCGATAGAAATCAGTGAAAATCGGAAAAATCCAAAAATCAGCTGCTTCTTCCTTGCATTATCCCCAGTAAATCGTATCAGAGGGACTTTTTTATACTCTTTTATCAACCGTCATTAATACAGCTCTTGACTATGGCTCTAAGTTATTAATAAGTAGACTGTTGACTAACCAAAGTATAAGTTGTTAATTTAAATATTGAACAAGTTAACTATTGATTAAACAATTTAAATAAATACCTTTTTTTGTGAAATTTTACCAGGATTCATTATTATCTAAGGTTCATTTACATAAGAGTCAATGATAGAGTACAATAAAATGAACAGTAATGTCTGTATGTTTTTTCTATTCAACATACTTAAATGAAGGTTACAATCATGCAGGCTAAATATTTTTCCGGTTCTTCTTTTCATTGAAGCGAATCAAAAAATGATATTGATGTGATTTTTGATGTAATGCATGAAAAACATATAAATCGATTATTTTGACATTTGTTGCAAAAAAATGTGTAAAACATGGACAATAAATCATGTAAACATTTTACTGCTTAAGCATATATAATTTAACTTATCTGCTCAAATTAAAAATGTATAATGTTAGTCAGTTCAGTTTTACCTGTCATCTATTATAATAGTGAATTTGGGTAGTAGATGGACATCCACCACCACTACATTGAGTGTGAAAATATTTCTAGATGAAGAAATAATTGAATCAGCCTTTCAGGTGTATGTCCTAGAGTGAAGACATACTTAATATGAATAGATATCACAAATAAAACCTAGCGTTCTTATCTTTCTGATCGACATCCTTCTGATCGACATTCTATTTTATTTCAACACACACTATATTTAAGATGATAGCTTAATAGATATAAAAATAATTCAAAATACGAGAAGTAAATTGCCACATCCAAAAAACAACAAAAAAATAATATTACACAAAAATATCTGTGAAAAAATGAAGAATGTAGCCATTATTAAATATATTTTGCTCGTTTACTCTCCAAAATATTTGGCCTAAAAATACAAAAAGGATAAACGATTTTTTTAAACGAATCTTGGTGAAAATATTTACGATTCATTTTCGTCGCCTCCACCACCACCTTTTCGTTTATCAATTATTTTTGATATTTGTTGCCATTCTCTTTCTAATTTTTGTTTTTCATCTTGTGGTCCACCTAAAAAAATGAAGACTTTTTTTAGATGTATTCTGCTAATGTATAATGTATAACTCACTTTTACGAGTTTTTCTTCCATCTGACATTTTCACACCATATTGAAATGCAGCCCTGTCAAACACAAGAAGTAGAAAGGTAATCTTTGTAAGTATACACATATAAATATTTTAAATCCTACTTTGGCATAGCTTCCTTTTGACTCATATAATCAGAATATTCTTCGGCTGTATCAAAATCCCATCGTCCAATTGGACCTTTTTTGGAACCCATATCCATTTTTTCATAATCTGGTTCATCATCACTGTCAATATTCACATCTTCTTCAGCCATTGTACTACAAATATATAGTACTTGTCATATGACAATTTTCCATAGGCTTTTATACTGATTTAACGTACCCTGGATAACACTCAGCATATGAATCATCACTAAACTTGAGCTGAAATCCACTTTTTTTTCCCCCATTTCGTGAGTCGATCTACGATAGAATATGTCACATAAATAAATCAAAATACAAAGTCAGATAGGTCAGCCTACTGATTTATTTTCGTATTTACGATGCACATTTTTAATAAAATTTTTCACTGCTTCTCCATTGTTATTTTCCGAATGATCGTCATCTTCCATTGCGTTTGAAGGATTCTATAAACAAAAACAAAACAAAACATGAGATTTAAAAGAATGCTTTTAGTCGAGAAAGAAAGAAAGAAAGAGAGAGAGATAACAAACGTACTCGTCTATCCATCTCTTGTTCATCACCCAAACCCCTGAAATAATTCTTTCTTCTATTCTTATCCTGTTCGTCTTTAATATCACGACGTTTCGTATCAGGAACATAATCTCCAACATCATCGTATAAACTAAAAAAACCAACAGTATGTACGAAAACGAGAATAAATAATGAAAGATACGTTTATCATCATGAAAGAGATTCTCTAAAACAAAAAAGATTACCTAATATCTTCGGTTTTTTTCACAAGAGAATTTGTATTTTGAGGTTTGATATTCATTATAGTATCCACGTGTTCTACACCACCACCCTTTTTCTTTTGTCGTTTCAGATCTCTTTTAGAATATCTTAGATATGACAAGATCTGAGTAAGTTTATTGATGACAATATCATTATTACTCAGTGTGGTTGTACTCTAGAAATTAATCAGAAAAATAAAATATATTTTAACAATCTACTCTATCCAGACATTTACCTCAGCATTTGGACAATCGGTTTTTGATCGTATCAATGTTGTTGGTATATCATCGATAAGTCCATTTTGATTTTCTTGATCCGATTCCAAATCAATAACGTATGCCATACGATGTGGTAAAAATAATTCATTGATTTTTCGTTGATTTAGTTGTGGATTTAAGATATTATTTCGAAACAGTGTACGAAATATATTTTTGGCTAATTTTGATTTAATTCCAAGACGATTTTCTTCCTCATCTTCTATCATTTGTTGACGTTGTTGTTGTTGCTGAGCAATCGTTGGTTTCTGAACAGATTGCTTAGTAGGAATAGCCTTTTTTTTATCGCTTGCTGTTGATGTAGGAATCCTGCATAAACAAAAATGCATACCAACAATAATACTTCAATAGTAAAATCGTGATGTGCTACTCACGATGGTGGCGGTGCCATTGGTTTAACAAATGATTGTTCATTATCATCTGCGCCCGATTGATCTGGAAATTCGTCTGTTGTTGTAATTTCAGCACGAATCTAGGAAAAAAATATATTTTATAACAGAAACAAATCATTACTAAAACTCACTTACTTTCTGCAGTAAAGCGTAGTCTAAGCCTTTCACTAAATGAGTATGCTCTAAATCTCCTCCTAAAAATTTTGATTCCTCTATGATTTGTTTACGTCTTGCAGCGGCATCATAATTTCTTAAAAACAATGTCATAGGTAACTTCTATAGGGAGACATATAGACTATATTTATTTACCCTTTGGCGTCTGGAGCAACAGCTCGATAATTTCCAGCTGATGTTGTTGGTGCTGACAGTTGTTGTTGCGATTGCGATTGCGATTGTATTGATAGAACACCCGGATCTTCTAAATCTTTATTACGATCCCTCCTTTCTCTTGCACGATCACGATATTTATTTATTCTTTCTTCTTCACGCTGTTTTTCTTCTTTAATAAATTTGGCATAATGTAATTTCTTTTTTTTTCGACGATCACCTGCTTCCGCATCTTTTTCAGTTCTAAACCAAATAGAAAGTGATCATATTCATAGAACAAAAACAAAACACAAAATAAAAATGAACATAAAGTAACATACGATGTTTTTACAGGTTTTGCTTGTGATGATGATAATATTGCTGTTGAACTTCGTTGTGTGCCAACAGCTGGAGTCATTAGTAATTTTCGAAAATCATCATTCGATAATGGGTGCCTAAAATTAAAAAGATAAATATAAATTCGAGAAAAAAATTTTAGTCAAACGTACAATGGTGCTTGATCAATCTCATCTGGATGATAATTTGCAGGAGCTACAATATTCAAAAAATAATATGAATTAGTTGGCCAAACGTTTAATAGACGCTGATAGTAGAAGCGTATAAGTTTCTATTAGTCGAACAAAAGATCATTAAATAAATCTTTAACTTACCTTGTGGATTTGCAAACGGCTCATCTTCTAAATAAGAAGAGTGATATAGCGAATACAGAAAAGAGCCATAAAGACACTTACTATGAGGCATTTTTCGTTGCTATATGACACAAACTAATTTTAAGATCTAAAAAAAGATATTTAGTAAAAATCGAATACTCAGCGTACCGCAAGATTATCACCGACAAATATTATTATTCTAAGATTCACGAAACATTAAATTGAAAAACTCGTGTCAATAGAAGAGCTCAGTAAATCATCAAAAATGTGGTCAAAAGCTATTCATTATTCAGAGTATTGCTCATTTGACATGATTTCCAATTAAAAATTGTAGTAAATGTTATTTTTAATGTGTCATATGTAAAAACAAGACACTTTTAGATATAGAAATATTTAGCGGCTTCAGAGCTATCTTTTTGACTAGATCGGCTATTCACACAACACGTACTTCACAAAAAAAAGCTAGTCTTTTCGGATAGTTTCAAATTTGAAAAAAAGATAGGAAACTAACCAGATAATGTTACGTGAGCATAGTATAAAATGAATTCTGTAGAGCAGAAAGTTGCCTATCTCTTAGGTTAAATACGGATTCTTTCAAATTGTATTTCGGTAGCTAAAAAACAAAACTGTCCCGTTCTCTAAGAAGCGCCAATATTATGCATATGAAGCAGTACTAGCAAACTGAGAAAAATAGAATGTTGATCGAATGAATTTCACTCTATATAATCAACTCGAAAACTAATGATCTTAGTAAAAATGATGATAGCATTGTATAAAGAGATGATAATTAATTTTGGATCATCATGAAAATATCTAGAATAGATTCCATCCAAAGACAAAAAACAACAGAAAAAAATGATCAAAAAAGTAAAATAAATATTTTCTTTTCCCCACCCATAGTGCGTTTTCTGCATTACTAAAATAGTTCCATCAGGCTTATTGTTGTTAAATATATTTGACATCACAGTATTAACTATCAACACCAATAGCAAGTATTACTATACATTAGCTGAAAATCACACCCTATTGATTGAAATAGCAAAAAATTGTTTCTTCTTCCTAAAAGAAACAAAGCCTGATGTAAAAAAAGCCCAATAATGATCGACGCGTGTATATGTAACAAAAAAATAGCTAAATAATATGAAAAGATCAAATAACTGGTTAATTGTTTGGTTGCGACAATAAAATATCTAGAAAATATGAAGTTATATGTCTGAAAATTAAATAATGAGTAAAGTTCTAAATTCGAATCTCAATAACAACGCAACAGTTCAAGGTATGATTCTTTCTTGACAACATGTTCATTTTTTTCTTATTTTCTTTTGCACTATAACTTTTTTTGTGAAATGTTGAACAGCTTTACTCATTGATAGTATCCCACCAAAGTCCTTGACGGCCATACGAGTTCTCGTCTTAAATATAGAGAAAACAAGCACAGATTCACGTATCAAATTATATAAATGAAGTGAAGTATATGATAATTTATTAATAACAAATATCTCTTGTGGACTTTTCGATCACAAAGGCGTTTTCTTCGAACCTAACAGTAAGTGGATGTTCGTTTTGTTTTATTTCCTGCAGTAAATGCGACAAAAGCATCGATCACAACAATATCAGAGACAAGCATTGATAAAAAAACAAAATTATGTAGTAAGCAGTTTCCTTCTGCATAATCAAATTTTCGACTGAAATGAATCACAAATTTTTTTGATATGAAATGCGAAACAAACAATGTCAAATAAGTTATCTAATTTCTTCTCCGATATCATAACGTTTAGTAAATTCTAGATAAAATAATACAACTTACACACGAGTATAACAGTGACTATTGATGAAAACTTTCTTCTTCTGGATGTTGATCATCAATACAATATTTATCCATAACATAAAGAAATCAGAAATCTATTACAATATACAATGAATGTATCAATCTTGAGAAACATGCGCAACCATCTCATCCATCTTCCAAATGGTAAAATGGTGCTAACTTCTTATATTATGTATTTTCTTTCTTTTTATTGATTGTAAAAGAATCATTCTACATCTCAAAAGCAATTATTTTACAAAAATGTGTCAAAAGTGATTGCTGAAGATGAATTACATTGTCAACAAGCCAGCTCATTTCTAACTGAAATGATGTGGCACAGAGCATTTTTGTTTTTACATTGACTTTGAAATAGATAGACCGATAGCCTACCCATAAATAGAATGATCGATGTTAAAATTTTAAAAAGTTACTTTAAAAAAGATTCACACGCACACATGCACCGGACTTTGTACACAGATCATTGTCAAATCAGAAGAAGTAGCAATAATACAAAACCAAAATAATAGCGACACACTGAGTATGAAAAAGAAGAATAAAAAAAAGCATAAACAGATCCAAGAAAATGATTGAAAAAGTATAGATTGGTCACTTGACATTGAAATATTTTTATCTATGGATATATCGACAAAAAGTTAATTTCACATGGACATAGAACAAGTCTAATTATCTATTGTGAAGTCATTTGTAATAAATGATTGACAACTAAATCCTTGTTTCCGCCATTTGTGTCTAATAATTGTTTGATAACAGATTGTTCGACTGTGGGAAAGATTTCGTGTAATTCTTTTACGTCGTTTGGCGAATAAAGCTGGAATTGTTGCTGATGAGTTTGTGCTATTTGTTGTTGATGAATAATATTATCCGGTGGTTGAGTTTTTGGAATTGTTGAAGTTGATCGAGTAGGAGATTGAGAGAGAGATGTTGGTGTTGCTGAAGGCACTTCGTTTTGAGGAGAGGCAATTGCAGTGCCCATGCCACTATTAGTATTTGTCAAAGTTGATGGTACTTGATGTTCAAGATTCGGCTGTTGAACTGCTTGATGTGGCTAAAATGAAACAAAAAGTAAATAAATATTTATTATTTATCAGTCTTTGCTAGATTATTCAAAGTTGTTCAATACATTAACTTTATTAAAATTAACCGCAAAGTCCAGTTATCATTACCTTTTTTCTGAGATAATCAGTTACCGACTCATTTTTTTCTGAATGACATTGTATCACATTTTTAGCTCATATAAATGTAAAAAGTCTCTTTATATTGAATTTCACTGTTGATGCAAATTTCTCAGACATATCTATTTAGGTCAACGTATTCTCCCAACATATACTGCCCATTAAGAAAATTATACAATTATAGCGACTGTTTTTTGTTTTTTAGGTTGTTGTTAATGACCTATACGCATACATATTATCATATAGTAATGATAACTACACATATATAGTCTTTTCACATTTTTTATTTCTTTTGATTATATTTGACTTCTATTTGATAAAAATTCTGAAATCAACTAATTATTGGCTAATAAGATATGGTCATACTTTTGCTCCATATGACTTTTACTGTAATTTTGGTTTTAGCTCAGCACCATGTTTCGATTTTTGTTATTAATCATTCTCACAACAAGTTTAAGATGGCTAGTTATATGTTTTGCATCACGTTATTTAAACGTATTTTCAAGAATTATTTAAAGATAAAGATAATGAGAGAAACAATAATAAATCATCACTTTTTTTCCAAAAAAACAAAAGTTACGTAGTGGTATGGATGCATAGACTGGTACTTTTCTGAAGAATAGTATGTTGTTATGACAAAAAGTGAATACATACCACAAATGACATAATGATGAGGATATCTCCTTCATTCTGGTTTTGTTTTCCCAACAGCGTATACCAACTTTGTTTGGTTTCACCGTTAAGCACTTCCTGAGTGATTGGAACATTGCATTCACCGATAAACTCATCTTCCGTGAAACTACGCTATATAAAAATAATAAAAAACATTTTAAACAAGATATAATATCGTCTCAAATGTGCTTAGAAACGAGCGACATTAACAAATAAAAATTCCGCTGAGCATACAATTAAGAGTTTATGCTACAAATTGAAAAATAAGTTTGGGAAGAAAAAATATTCTTTGTTCTTACTCGGTCAAATACTTCCAAATAAACTGCATCCATTCCTTTAAATAAATTTCTAAATGAACAAACAATAGTACTAATCAAAAGTAAACATAATTGTTAAACTCACATTCTATAAGATGCTTTCCATTGTGGATTTTTTCCACCGGATTGTGCTGTGGGTGTCTCATAAGCAATATGACCCAGTCGTATTCTTACATAAGGATCCATTTTTAATAATCCAAGTAGACCGAAATTTTTAATCACTTTAGCCTAAGAGAAGTCAAATAATACGAAATCAAATATAATTCACAATTTTAACCTTTCCAATACTTACTTCGGCTATAGTTAGTGTTAAATATCCAACAAAATTTGGATTTTGCAATGGATGTGGAGCTTGACGAAATTGTGGAAGAACACCGGCATGTGGATCATAATAGAACTGAGTACGTGTTAACTGAATGCGCAAAAAATCATCCGGCAAATCTCCCAGCATTACCTAAATAAAATGAAAACAGTGATTCATCTAAATTAAAATGTAAACACAGAAACGTACACGTGAGCGATATTCATCAAATTTTGGGGCACTGTCATTGTTAGTAGCTGATGCAGAACCTGAATTTACGTAATTCGACGCTGTAGCCGCAAACGAGTTTGCTGCATAAGCAGAAGCAGATGCCATTTTAAATATCTAAATAGTAGTCACAAATTTTTACTGAAAGATAAAGAGAGAAAGACGATCTGAGTAAAATCAACATGTTCTCTCACAATTTGTTGAATAAATATCCACAGACTGTCAGCCTATTTACTACGCTAACAAAAAAATAAAATGAGAATGTAATGTGAGTGATCGAGTAATTATAAAACAGCAGGTAAAGACTCAATGGATGATAATCTTGGTAAAATACGGAATTTGAAAGAGGAAATAATCTTAATACGTGCTGCTACCATCTAGGTTTTCCTAAGATGTCACCCATGAAAGAATGAAGGAATCCGTTTCAAAGTATTTCTTTTTCGTAAAAAGAACACACGTAAAGTATTTCTTTTTCATTCACGCGACGTGTGTTCCTCATCACTTTTTGTAAATAATAAATTGTTGCAACTAGTTTTTATCATATTGCTACAGATGTCCATTAAAACAGCGTTGTTTATAAGCCGTTAACTGCCGGTTAACGAATCGTAACTAAGCATCTCGTTAACGGACAATTTGGCATAAAAAAATGGTCCATTTACACTACTTTTTTCAGACTGTTTTACCGTTTTTTGAACGTTTCAAAAAGAAGTTTTATTTTTGTTTTTCTTCCTTAGAAATAGTGTGTTTGCCACCCGAGGCAAAGAATCTTGAAATATGATCTTGTAAGATTATCTTTCAAGACACCATAAATTTCACAAGATCTTATAATCATATGAAATCTTACAAGATCTCACAAGATCTTATGAGAATCTTGGTGCAAGAATCTTATAAGATTTCACAAGATTTTTCTTGCAACACGATTAAGTAAGGTCTTGCAAGACCTTGTGATAAGATCATGTGTGATCGTGCAAGAAGTGACAAGATGTTGAGAGATTTCATAAGATCTTATAAGAATTCATTAGATTGTACAGGATTATTTCTCTGGTTCTGTCCTACTGATCCCCTCTAAACCCTCTTTAAAAATTTTTTGTTTCGTTTTATTATATTTTCGAGCATAGGAAGACCCCTGACCTCCTTAGGAACGTGTCCAACCACGTTCCTTATATCCATGCGCTTTTTTCGTATGATCTTGTACCATTTCTAGCACCAAAAAATCCTAGACCAAAGTACTATCTCTACTACCATGCTTAAGAATCCTAGTGAAACTATTTTGTTCATGCACATTTCTGCATTGCTTATCATTTCATGCGCATATGACAATTCTTGTCATGCGGTGGCTGCTTGTGATTTTTCCTCGTGCACATACGTCTGCGCACGAATAAATAAAAATTCTAAGTTACTCGAATAGCAATCTTAGTTGACAAAATTCGTCATCTCTACCGTAACATCACCTCAATCATCATTCATCACGTTCTTCACCGAACAAAGTCAACATCATTCTATCACGACGATATTGCTTCGATCCAATGTCACATCGCCATCTACAACAACGCTCTCGATGCATTAGCCAACGAGATGAACTTTCGGACGGCAGCAACAAAGATTCTCAACAACGCTTTATACGAGGGTCTCCACTTAAATGACAGAAAAAAGTAAGCTTCTTGCTTATACTTTATGTAAGAAGAGTATTTTCCTTGAACAATAATATTAATAATATCAATGTTGCATCTGGCCCTCCACCACAGATTTTAGTTTCCAACTCTACTTCGACTGTTATCACTGACAATAATTCTTCTCAACGGTTGAAATTGGGACTCTCTAATATCGTTTGCTTTTAAGATATGGAGCAAAGAAGCACTTTTTTCCAGGTGGATAAATAATTTTGACTGAGGTTGTGTAATGTATTTATTATTGACAAAAAAATTAATTGGAGAAAAAGGAGAGTGAAAGAAGCCATTTATTCAAATATGTGGTAAACGTTTCATTCTAAATGAAAAAGTGGAATTTGTAAAGTTGAAATTTTCAGTGGTCACCATGTAAACATTTGCTTCAGATGTATAATTTCTTGTTTTTGCTTCCCATCTTTTTTAACAGACTTTGAAAGATTCATCCATTAGTGTATATCAAGTGAAATTTTTTTCGAGCGAAAAACAAGATGTGATGAAGCATTATCAAGTTTAGAAATATTATTTGTTATTCGAATTTTATTGGGATTTCGAATATAACATCTTGAAGTAATTGGTCATATTAAGTCCATAACACTGCATAGAAGAAGGACAAATGCTCTATACGATGCATGCATTCTCAAACGTGCACACATGTTACCATGCGACGTTTTACGAGACGTTTTGAAAAGGGCTATCACGTACGCGACCAACATCAAGTTTTCGCTGATAGATGGAGAGCGAAATGTGCAGGACGCTAACGGGTGGTCCAGAATAAATTACCGGTCTTTCTCAGGCTAAAATTGATCAGAAAATTTCGTTTGGATGCTGGAAGATAGAGAACTTATTGATGAATAAAAATGAAATTTCAGTGTTTTAAATTTTTTTGTACAAAAGAGCACTACACAAAAATGCCTGTAACCTTCACGATTTTGACAACATATATTTCAGAACTCTTCTTTTTGATTCACAGAATTTGTATCTTTTTCAAATGTGTTGACAAATAAAAAATTCATCTAAAATAGGACGTTGTTTCATTACAAGCAATTTTCCAGTACAAATGATCAATTCTTTCGATTATACGAATTATCATCCTGATTTAACATTAGCCCAGGAACCTAGGTCAATATCACATTGGCCTGATTAATTATAAATTGTACGTTAGACTAGTCCAATCTTAGATTCGCTTGGTGTTTTCAGTCCAATGTCACATTAGACTGATACTTTTTATTACATTTTACTTTGGACTAGTTTATTCTGAAATTTTACTTTGGCCTTAAGCAACTCTAGGCGAAAGTGAAATTAGACTTTGGACTAGTTCAAAGTGGAATTTGCCCTTGGCCTGACTAATATTACATTGGACCGAATTCCATTTTGGACGCTAGCATATATATGCTACTAGTGGCAGCAAAATAAAATTAGGTGAATGACTTGTCGAGAAAATTATCTAAAAATGATCCTTTTAAAGTATACCATATGGACTCCATTCGATCACTCGAATAAATGGTCCTTTCATTATGTTCCAATTTTCAGGTCAAGATCTTGATGATTCTACCTCTACTGCATCGATTGTCAAAAATATATTACAGTCTGACGTCACATTGAAAGGTACTACGAGAATTGTTCATGACGCAATCATTCTCTAAAAATAACTAATTTTAAAGAATTTTATAATCAACTATATTTTAATGACAGACTAGTCATAATGATTTAGGTACATATGACAAAAAGAACTAACAACCGTATAAAACGCGTTCGTATTTTGTAAAAGAAAGTTTCTGAACGCGTCCATAATAAAGAACGTCATGCCTGTTTTCTTTTTCCGTTTACGGTTCTAAGACGCGCTTTCTGCCAATTTGAGAAATGGAAAAAACCATGTTTCACGTTTTCTCAGCTCATCAGCGAAGCTTTGACTTTGAAATTATTCTAATCAATATTTATTTTCTCGTCTTATTCTTTACATAGGGCATATCACGATTTAGGGCGCTCCCATTAATCAAATGTATTGAGACAGGTTTCTTTTACATAAAATAAAAGCACTTTCCAACTCGCTTTGTTGTGGAAAACGGCAGCAAACGGATTTTGAAAATTTTTTCCATTTTTCATTTTTGAAGCCTGTTCTAAAGTACCTGAAACGCATTCTTTCATAAAAGAAACCCGAAAAAAACATGTTGATTTACGTGCATTTACTTTTTGCTGCTTAAAAATTAAAAAAGAGTTTGATAATTAATTATTGTTCATTTTTAGCGGTTTTTAACTCAATTGTTTCACTTGTTTGAACGAGTTTATCATCCTGTCGTTCCTTTTTTCAAATCCGTTTTAACGGATTAATTGAAAATTTTTTATTGATCCTAATAATTTTTGCAAGGATGTAACTTGACATTCTCTGAAAACGGATTGTAAACACTTCTGTGTGAAGAAAGCTCTTCCGCTACCTGTCAGTTTTTTCTTTGCATGCGGAAAGTTGATGACGATTTGTTTTTGCATACGTTTAATCGTGCAAAACATAATCACATTTATCCGTTTTCTGCATGCTGTGCAAAAAGAAGTGAACGTTTTCACTTATGAAAAAAAGTTAACTTGCGATAAAAACGGTTGGTAAAAATGCCAAATGGAAACATATTAATAGTCATGCGAATCTGTTTTTGTATCATTTTACTTGTTCATCACAAACACATTATGTATTCTTGCCTTGATCTCTATATAACATTATATAAAACAGGTTATCCGTTTCTGTTGAAAAGAAATTTTTATATTAAAATTATGCAAATTTATACTTATTTAGCCATAATATAAGCGGCGTGTAATACTTTTTTTTTGATTGCACAATTTGTAAAATTCTTTTCATGTACTTCTTTTTCGATCATAGTGAGATATAACCGTCGAAAAAACACACTGAATTTTACATTATATGTGAGAAGGCAAGTTATTTCTATAAACTATAGTAATTAGGCTAGGGAATAGAATCCATTCATTTCCAAGGGAAAGCTTAATATGGTCGTGGTGGTTGAGAACTGTCTATAATATGACATTTATGTTAATTCTCAACCACCACAATCATATTAAGCTTTTCCTCATCTCTTCAGATTAATCAGTAGAAGTAGAAACAATGCAAGGAAGAAAAGAATATTAGAGATATCGAAAACATCAGTAAAAATTTATCCTTTATGAAAATGGACCATTGAGAGAACAACGCCTTTTATTTAGATTTTCACAAGAGTACTTGTGTTGACTACATTTATGTTGATTCAATATTTTTCTAACAAGGGAACATTCCCAGCTAATGCATTTTTATATGACTGAAACATAGGGTTTTCGGTATTATTGTTATGATGATCACGAACCTGAAAAATGTTTTCTTCTCGTATGACTTTCTATTCCCATCGTATAGAAATGGAGTATGTGGGATCTTTTCTATACTTGTAGATACGTGATTCGGACCTA